CTGGGTGTGGTATGTCCTCTGGTAAGTCATCCAGCGATCCAAATTTTGCTTATCTGTGCCTTCAGCCAAACAAAAGGTGACAGACACAAAATGAAGTCAGGGATGTTAGTTTTCATCCTGCTTTTAATCATCCCTTGGGCCCAAGAGAGGAGTTCATTCTCTTCAGTAGTAACAGTTGGGAGTGCCTGTTTGAGCTGTTTTATTCAGACCTTTGGATGTGAAGGAAATGACCTGTAAACAGCGGTGTGGTCCACATTTAGATGTGCTAAGACTTTTCAGACTCTCGAGAGGGCTGTGTTAGAGTGTGGACACAGTGTAATGGCTTGTGACTAGTAGGAGGATTACTGGGGATCCAAGATGGCCTCAGATCATTTGACATCCTTCCAGATGAGAAGTGGGTTTAATGCCTCTGCCTTTGACCTCATGGCTGTTTTAATTACAGTTTGTAGCAGAAATGTCACCAAACAGTTTCAGGCCAGGCTTTGATGGAGTTGAGAGTGTTGACTCTAGTTTCTTGGAGTCCTACACTACCATGTTGGATGGTGGCCGTGCTATGGCAGGAACTATATGAAGAAGTCTTAAGATTTACACAAAAGGAAGGCCCAACTACAACCAGGCTGTTAGCCACTTATTAGCCATTGGATGGACACCTGCATGAAGCCATCACGAATCCTCCAGTCTGGATCAGAAACAGGTGACAATTTGAGTGACCTCACATGCAGCAGCAAATGATTTTGACAGCATGTCTAAACTCTGTGGGTTATGAACATGCAGAAATGGGTTTCTATATTTTCAGAAATATTTTTTAATTAAAATAAAATTACATTGTTTACCTCTATCCATTTTCTTCCCCAACTCTTCCTTCCCATGTACCTCCCCCTCGCTCACTCTCAAATCCATGGCCTCTATTTTTTAATTGGTGCTATATATTCATATATATATGTATATATGTGTAAACATTCCTAGTTATATAAGTAAAACCTGTTTAGACCATATGTCAGTTATATGTATGTGATTTCAGGGCTGACCATTTGGTATTGGATAACGAATTTTGTGTTCTTCCCTGGGGAAGGCTATTTCTCCCACTCCCAGCATTTTTTTAGGTTACCTGTTTCTTTGAAGGTGATGATGATGGGTGTACTAACACGAAAGAGTGGATTCTCATGGGGTCTCAACCTCAGAGTTTTTAGTTTGAGGTTTTGCAGCTGGAGATTGCACTCAGGATCTTACATATGTCACATAAGCAGTTTACCACTGAGCTGCACATCTAGAATCATTGTTTCATTCTTGTAAGTTTGTTGTGTATCAATATTCAAAAGTAGATATCTGGAACACACATGCAAACACACACACACACACAAATGCAAGAATGAACACGTGCATTTGCAAGCACAGACATGCACTCGAACACACACATACACACACACACACACACACACACACACACACATAAATGAGCTTGATAGCACACATTCGTAATCTCAGTGATCACTCAGGAGACTGAAGCAATAGGACTACTACAGTTGGAGGCTAGCTCTGGCTACATAGTGAGTTCCTGACCAACTAGGGCTACAAAGAGTGAGATCTCATCTCAAAACGTACAAGAAAACAAACCATGCATTAAAAAGCCAGCAAGTCAAACAGCAATGATGCTCTCTGGTTTACAGTAGAACAACTGGTCTGCATGAGTTTAAGCATCTGTTTGCAGAGGAGAGACAGCACAGGAAAGGATGCTAATCTTGTGTGTCATCAGACACAAAGCCCCGATTAATTGAATAATTGATCTTGCCTTTACTAGATCTGGGGCTTGCTTATTTTAAACCTCTCCTGCCTTCCCACTTGAAACCTTGCATCTCATTGATGCTGGGAGAGGGAATGTGAAAATCTCATACAGTTCCTTGCCCCTCTCTCAGGAATATATATGCCATTTCGGAGAAGCTAGGCTGGAAGCACCAGTGTTTGTGAAACCCAGATCTCAAATAGGATTATGGGGCTGGCCAGGGGAGGCCACCAAAGCGTCCCTGTATAAAGATATCTGTGATCTGCCAAAGCAGGGGCCAGCTTTTCCTGAGGTCCTGGCCAGAGAGGGCGGAAAGGGGCGGGGAGTGCTGGCCAAGATTCTGCCTACTCTAGTGCGGGTCCAGGCGGTAGACAGGGGAGACCAGAGAGTCGGAAGACCACGCTGTGACAACCAGCCTCCACCGGACCTGAGGGTCCGGAGCGGGAAACCGTGCCCGGAGCCCCGTGAGCCGCTGCGCCCATGGGCCCCACTGATCCTGCAGGGAGCGCCGCTGGCTACGTCTCTGAGAGCTCCTGGATCCCGGGCGCCTCGCGGTGGCAGGAGCAGCGCTAGCCGGGCTCGGGGCGCAGGGCTGGGCGGGCGTGGAGCTGAGGCCCCGGGAAAGTGGCGACATGTGGCAGCCCTCGCCCCGCGGGGAACGGGCGCGGGGAGCCACCGCACCGTGTTGCCCAGGCCTCCAGGCTCCAGGCCCGGCCTGTGCGACACCAGCCAGAGTCTGGGACTGATTGTGATTGGGTAAGTTCACCACGGGGCCTGGGGGCAGCAATGACCATGGCTTGTTTGTGTGAAGTGCATGGTTGTGTGTGTGTGTGTGTGTGTGTGTGTGTGTGTGTGTGTGTGTGTGTGTGTGTGTGTGTGTGTGTGTGTGTGTGTGTGTGTGTGTGTTGTCTTCCCGGCCTGCAAAGGAGAAATCCATCCCATCTGTGCGTTCCTTCCTGCATTCATTCATGAAATCGTGGCGTGCTGACATCAGCAGGCCTTCCCAAATGAGTTACTTCTTTGCTTCTCAAAGAAGCAATTATGGTTGCTTCCTGGGCTCCGGAGGACCACCCTTGGATGTGTTTATTACAGACTCTAAAGTCAGATCCTTGCTGGCTTTAATTCGGGGGGTAGAGCGATTGCTTAGCATTCATGAGGCCCTGTGCTCAATACCCAGCCCCGCATAAAAAATAGAAATAAAAAGTAAAAATAAAAAACAAACAAACAAAAACACCGAAAACTTCACTATTCTGCATTTTAATCTAGAGACTGTACCCAATGTATCCATTTCAAATACTCCTTTCAAACAGAGGGATTGAAGACTGTAAGGGCTGTTTAACAGGGAACTGAATTTCCACGGGAAGCTGGACCCAACTTTGCAGGTTATCCAAAATAAACCAAGGGGGAAAAAAAAAACAGAGTAAGTCTAATGAATGGAGGAACTATTGGGAATTGTTATTATTCAGCCCCATTTTTTTTTTTATTCACCATGTTAGTACTGCATGCTTCCTGGAAAGTGTTCATGTTAGCCATTCTGTGGTGAGGTCACTCCTGTCTTCTCCGTGACCTTGGAGTCTGAGCTCCTAGGATACTGGGAGGATGGCTGCTGTGTTGTCAGCTTGCAGAAGAAGGCATTAAGCTCAAGTGTCAGTGGCTGGTCCGCCATGAAGATGGTGTCAGGAAAGAATAACATTAAAATCATCCATTGACACCAAAGTTTTAAAATTACTGGAGGGCCTGTTAGCTCACATCTAAGTTATACTCCTCATTGGTCAAAAAACATCTACTTAATGTTATATTGGTTGCTCTTGGGAAATCTGATTTGTAAGAATTTCTGATTACCTAAAAGTTGAATCACAGTGTAAGTGATTTGAAAGATGGTTTAGAAACAACTGAACAGCGAATAGAAAGTTGCTCATTAGCGTAAATGCTGGGCAGAGGGCGTGGCTCAGTGCCCCAAGCATCAGCGTCATATAGAAGTCCCTGGATGCAAGCCCAACAGCACCAGAATAGAAAAGAGTGCAAAAGCTGACACTGCGCTATGTCCTTTTCTCTGTTCCCCTTTAACATCTTACTGCGCTATGTCCTTTTCTCTGTTCCCCTTTAACATCTTACTGTGCTATGTCCTTTTCTCTGTTCCCCTTTAACATCTTACTGTGCTATGTCCTTTTCTCTGTTCCCCTTTAACATCTTTGCCTTACAATTATTTAACTGTACCTATGAGGTACAGGTAGTACGAATGGAAAATAACACAATTCTGTTAATCATTGTTGTACAAACAGCATCAGTGGAAGGCAGAAGTTCCTGGATAACCTCTGCAGATAGTGTTAATTTTTAAAAGACCCCTCTTTGTGATAGAGGACTATAGGTATGTAGGGAAAGGCTGGGTATTTTCCATTTACATGAAAGCTACACATGTTAAAAGATAGATACCACTTTAACTAAAAGCAAAGCCAGCCTTTTTTATCTAAAGCACATGGAATGGTGTCTTTACCTTAGATACTGAAAGCTGAAGTCTTTTTCTCAGTCTCAATCTAATGCGTCTTTTATTTATATGGGAATTCATGATTGCTACTAAGAAACAGAAGTGGTTTACTGCTACACATGCAGAAGATATTTTGATGAGGGGGAAGAAAATGTTTTAGAAGGCTCATTGAAAAGGAATTTTAATGATTAACATGCCATGTTGGTTTAATAGTTTACTTAGATTTTTAGATAGCCTAGTTTTCTGTTCAGTTTTAGTATTGCAGAGCCCTTTAGAAGTCAGAATGCAACCGGACAACACTAGTAAAATAAGATGTTTGGATGGCCTCTGGGCAATTCAAAATAGTTTGCGTGTTTCAGAATTGGTACTGGATCAGCGATCACTGACTGGCACGTTCACTGCGTTTTGTTAAGCACCAAGGGACTTGGTTAAGAGACACTGAACGCAGCTCGTGCTCCACTTGCAAGCCCTAGGCTTTGGAAAAGAACTGTGTCAAAAGTCCTGCCAACTATTTCTAAAACTTCGTACTTTCTGACTCTGCCACAAACAATTAATTCTTAATTATATTTTCAGATCACATACATATCATGTAGGTTATTGGTAATCTTGATCCTAAGAAAAATTAAAATAAGGAGTTCTAGGCCTCGGTGGCCAGCAGGGGATTCTAAGCCAATGAAGGACATGTGTGATCATGTTAGAGCCTTGTCCTACTTCCTTGGTTTCCTTTCCTTTCAGAAGGGGGCTTTCGGAAGGACCCGGGAAGCACAGCTCCAAAAAGAGCAAAGATCCGCTGCCTACAAATTTTACAAGAAACGTGCAGAAAGCCATTGATAAGTATGCCAGGTAAGGAGTAATCATAAGTGCTGCTGGTGTCCCAAGCAAGTGTGTGTGTAGTAAACATGGGGGAGGGATCAGATACATTACCGAGTGATTGTTCAAGCAGTCTGCTGTGAACTTGGCAAATACATTTAAAGGAACAGTGAGGAAACGAGCCTAGAGAAGTCAAGCCCGTGCACAATGTCCACTCTTCCCAGCTCATATGTCTGTCACCTGTGCTCCTTCCTGCAGTGAGTCCCCTTCATCCTTTTCATCCAGTGGGAGCCGCACACCCACGGAGGCCCACAATTCATGGCCTGGCTCTTCCACACAGAGTTCCACGACTGAACTGTCTACAGAGAGGAGCTCAATTTCTTCTTGGAGAGATGATGTATGTCTTTTTATAATCTCAATAACCTGCAGATATGGTATATGGGGAATGCCCTAGTAATTTACTTGCTTGTGTATGTGTGGGTGGGTGGATGTACTCTGAACTGTGGTGCCTATTCAGAGGTCAAAGGTCAGTTTTGAATATCTTCCTCTATTACTCTACACCTTTTTGTTTTGGACGAGGTCTCTCACTGAACCTGGAATTAGTCAAGGGTCAGCCTGTCTCTACCACCCCACACCCAGCCTTTGCTTGGGTGCTAAGAATCCCTAACAGGCCCTCACTGTACATAATGAGCTCTCCCCCCCAGCCCTAAGAATCCCTTTCTTATATTCAGAAAGAATCTGTTTACATTTATCTAAGCATTATTAAGTGATACATATTACACATATGTGTGTGCGTTTATGCTGTTACATACAAGTATCAAAATGTCAAAATATAGAGAAAAATGAGTTTTCTGATTAACTCATAGTCTAGAGTCATAGCTGTTATTTCGTTTCTCACACCCCACAACCCTGCCTTTCATTGCACTTTACTTTAAATAGCATCCTGTGGCTAGAAACTTGAGATAAAACCTTAATGGTTAACGAAAGTAAGAGAAAGCTTTGGGAAAGCAAAAACTATGAACCATCTCTGTGATTAGAGGACACTGGCACACCCACATGTAGCCTCCACCAAGCCAAACTCTCACTCTTACCCCCTAACCTGAGACAAGCCATCAACTTTAACCCTACCTTGAGTATTTTGTGACTGTGGGATTCTCAGATAAGAAGTTATTCAGCTACGGTTCTGGTTTCGCTAAGATTTGCAGAATCGTTAGTCTCCTCTGTATTCCCCCCCCACAATAGCTATGTACAGATGAGTATCTGTATCTACAAGGAATCTTAAATGAGTCTCATAACCGATGCTGTAAACCTTATGTTTATTTAAGTTAATGAATGTGAGGTGTAATATAGGCTGTCATTGCTCAGATAGACCTTTGCTGCACTGGCCTATCTGGCTACGGAGCCCACCATTTTACCTTGTTTTACTCCCTCTTATTTAGTGGTCTCCAATTTATAAATATTGATTGAGAAGCCCATGTTCTCAATCTATGGTATCTATCTATGTGATAAGATCAGGCGCTTCAGGGTAAGGTGACCATAAACTAATGGGATGTTTGAATATGTACTTCTGTTTCAGGAATTTGACAAAGTCAATGCCCAGAAAGTCCAGCGGCTGTTCTGGGAGGTTGAGGAAATGCTATTTGAAGGGAAAGTGAGTCCCCAGACCCAGAATCTCCTGGCTGAGTGCACTGAGTGGGCAGGAAGATCCCTCCATCTCAGGTAGAGAAATGGCCATGAACATCTGCCTGCATGGGGGTTCGATCCACGCACAATTGATTTCCCTTTATTCAGACATTGTAACTGAGAGCGTTTACCAGTCACAGTATTATCCAGAACTCAGTCCTTTCTTGACAGTCACACCCTTTATAATAGGTCCCAAGGAAACCTTGACACACGGTGGCGTCATATGCCTTTAACTTTTCAGAAGCAAATTCATGTCATTCTCAGAAAGATGTCATATCCGTGGCAGATGCAAGAATCTGAGGGGTGACCCTTTATCTACACGTTCACTCTGTGTGAGTGGCAAGCATCTGTCATCGCTGAGAGCTTGATGACGGGAGAGGGGAGGGGAGGGGGTTGGCAATGGTGGTACTACAGAGACCGAGTGTTCATTTGCTGGAAAACTGGCTAGATGACCCACGTCTATCTCTATTTCACATCAAAGGAGGCATTTGTTATTTTTTCAATGTATATTCAAGATGGAGAAAGGTAGATTTGGTGGAAAGGAAGTGTTGCTTTCTTCACCCAGCCTTGCTACTGAGGGAGAAATCTGTTTTAGTGTTCTTGAGTTCTGAGCTGAGGAGAATGAATTGGAATACTAACATAAATATACATGATTCTTCTGATTAGCATGTCAAGGGAACTTTAAAAAAATGTCTTAGCTAAGTGTGGTGATGCATGCCTGTAATCCCGGTATTTAGGAGGCTGATGGGGACTGTGAGATGAAAGAAAGCCTGTGATACATAGTGAGATCATGTTTTAAAAAACAAACAACAAAACAAAAGCAACAACGAAACAGCCAATAACAAAGAAGTCTTTCTGAAGCATTTTAAGCAATTCTTCATAAACCTTGCCTTAAAGAATATGCTACGTGCAGTGACTGGGTGTGCATGTTCCTGGGCAAGGTGCACTTCCCCAAATATCATGCACCCAGGCTTCTTTCTCTCACCATCGTCTTACATTTGATTATGAAAGCCAAGAATGGAAGATAGAAAAAGAAAAGGAACATGAGCCAAGTTGTATATGTTTATGTATTTTTATTCACTGGGCCTATGCAAATTACCCCCTGTAGCAAGTTTCTTTGCCCGAGGCACTCAGGTAGGACATATATTCTCTCTAAACCATTCATCACTCCTGCATGATAACCATGATTCTAATTGGCTCCTGACCAACCAATAAATAAGTGGCGAAGGAGCTGGACATCTCTGCTCACACTCTCCACCCAGACTCTGAACAGAGTCATCCTGCCCTCTCCAAGCCTGAGCTTTTCTCCATCACCATGGTGACTACCTTGACCCAGTGCATGCTACAGCACATCCTGTGTGTCCTTCAGAGTCAGCATGGCATCCTGTTTAAAATCATGAAACATTTTTCCTTTGTCTGATCAAAGAAAATCCTTGGTTTCTTAGCTTTTTTTTTTCACTTGCAGGCTGTTAGGAAGACAGCTCATCCCGCCAAGTGATGAAGGTTTCCGACACTTCCAGGGGAGCCTGCCTAGTTCTGCTACCTACAAACCCTTACCTCCTGGTCCTGGCCACATCAGCAGCATCAGAGAGTAAGTTTATATATGTAGCTTGCACAAATGTGTGCATGCACGTGTGTGCCCACACCCACCCACACCCACACCCATCCCCCACCCGCCATATATACATATAGTACCCAGCATAGTAGTATACATATGTGATCTGAGCACTTGAGAGGAATAAGCAGAAGGATCAGGGAATTTTCAGCTACTTTGCAAACTTGTAGCAAACCTGGGCTACATGAGACTCTGTCTCAAAAGACTTAACTCAAAAGTATTTGTTAACTTTATTGTAGTTCTCATTCCATGCTAAACTCTTTCGTGAGCCTAGGCTTCAACATATTTGCATGCAGAGTCAGAATAGTGTGGGGAGAATGTTTTTTGTGAGATGCTTCTCATTGATGCTTCGCCTTCAGACATGTTTGTGTGCACATACATGCAAAACATACATGTAACAAACACATAAGCATAGGGAAGTTAATGTCAGCATGTCTTTGGAAGACCCTGAAAGGTAACCTCATGAAAAATCAAACACCTGGTTGTGATGGGTTCTAAGCTTCAAGGCACGAGTGGAAGAGACAACATTCCACCCTGCTGTCTTTCTTATTAACATATTTTGATGAACCCTTTTGATGCCATATATGCGTATGGGAGACCATTCTGTCACATCCTTTTATAACTGCAAAGAGGATGCAGTTACTATATATACTGGTTTATGATTTTAAGAAGCCTGTAATTTTTTTATGATTTCTGGGGTTAAATGTCTTAGAAGAAAGCTGTGTGTGGCAGCAAGTACCTGTAATTCCAGTGCTGGGGAGGTGGAGGCAGGCAAATTCCTGGAGCTCACTGGCTAGGCAACCTATCCTTCTAGGCAAGCTCCAGGCTAAGGAGAGAACCCATCTTAAAATACAGGGCACGTAGCTCTTGAACCAAGACCCAAGGTTGTCCTCTGGCTTCCACATTCAAACACACTTGTTCGAGAGCACACACACACTTATTTGCATAGACATGGACATGGAGATGCGCGCGCGCACACACTTTCAGAAAATGGGAGTTTTGTCAAATGTAATATTTGGTGATGTTTCAGATATTGTGTACATTGTAGATAACTTACAGCCTATGCCTGTCATGCAAGCATTGTATTCTCTTGTTCTACAAACTCCCATGGAGAATGTTTTTGCTCCTAGGTTGTGTGTCTCTGGCTCTCAGATAGTTCCAGAGGCACCCTCAGCCTCTACCCTGACAGACCCTGATGGCACAGAGTTGACTGACCCCACATCATCCTCATCTCTAGAAGAAGAGGTGTACCTCGTGGATGGAAACATCGAAGAATATTTTGCTTTTGACAGAAAACAGGAGTAAACTGAATTTTATTTGACATATAATATCAATTTACCATATGCCATTAGCGTTTTGTGTTTGTTACTTATGAAAGATTCCTATTCTTTTGAGAGAAATGTACCCCAAAGGTTTTAGATCCTGGAAGAGAGTGTAAATTCTAGAGCAGGGCAGTACTTTCTTCTGCACACTGTGGTGGATAGAACGCAAGGGTTTGTCTAGCATGATGGTAACAGGGGACAAGGACATTGGAGCTCCAGGTTCCTTACACTTAGCTTCCTGGAGGATAGACAGGAAGTTTCTATATTGATGCTAAATGCATGTTTTCTTTTAAACAACCATGACATATAAAAATTTGCTTCATGATTGAAATCGGTATATTAAAAAGCAACTGGGTACGGAAGCAAGTCCTAGCAAATATAAGAAGTCACATTGAGTATCTTTTCTGGTTACCATGGCTTTAAAAGAGGAATCTATAGGAAAGCCAGAAAATTCATCAAGAGAGAAATTAGATAGATACTCCTGAATTGTCAGTCTATCACAAGACAAATGGAGACGGGGACACAGCACAGCAAAGTTGATGGCCCCCAATAACAGCAGCTCGAAAAGAGGGGTTTTTGACACTAAATGCCATGTTTAGAAATAAAGGACCTGGCTGGGAAAAAGACTTTGCCATGCAAGTCTAGTGGAACTGAGTTTCATCGCTGGATTCTACAGTGGAATGACAGAGTCCACTCCTGATAATCTGTCTTCTGACTTCCATTTGCATGCCGTGGCACACATGCCCACACAATCCACATCATATAGACAGACAGTAAGAAGACATAGCAATACAGAGAGACCTTTAGTAAGCTAATTCTACACATGAAAAATAGAAGAAACTAAGCCTGCAGATAGTTAAGTAAATAATAAAGATCAGAGTAGAAATAAAGATCCAAGAAAAAAGAATTGAACAGATTGATGAAGTTGTCATTTTTCTTCTCTGTTTTGTTTTTTTCCAATTCTGCTGACATACATTTGAAAATTAAAATTGTATCTTTTAAAAATAACAATTTATAAGGAATGTGTCATATATAAAGATAGATGGTGATGGATAGACACACATATAGATAGATAGAAAGATAGAAAAAGAAAGAGAGAGAGAGATGCAGAGATAGATTAAAAAATACATAGATGATTATTTCAACCTTAACCCTGGCTATTCTAGTAATTTGAGTGGGTTTCATCCTTAGTGGAGATGAGCATCTGGAACAGAACCCAACACTCCGAGGCAGGAAGTGGCATCGACATGGGCTTCCTCCCATTTCCCCTCATGACTGTATCAGAGATGCCGTGGCAGCAGAAGTGTTTGATCATGTTTGGACCAATGTGGTAGAAATACTGGAAGATCTCATTAGAAAGACCTGGGAATCTGCTCTCACAGGTACTTACTTACAGAGTTTGGCCTCCTGGAAAGAATAGAAAAGACCACACCACCACAACTCTCACTCCCCACCTCCCAAAACATGACTGAAACAAGAAGTAACCATTCTGCCGTCTACACAGACAACCTTTGATCACATAAGAGGGGCATCATTGTTCTGCAGGCTCTTCCTTGCCCCACTGTATAATCTGTTCTGCCACTGAGGAGATCACCACAGAGGCCTGTTGCCCAATGTAGTCTCTGCCCTCTGCTGCAGGGCTGTTTAGTCAGTGTCTATGATGTAAACTCATAACTCGGGACATACATTTCTTGCTGATTTTTCTGTTGACACAGATGAAAAAGCACACAAAGAAAAATTGAAAGTAGCTGGAAACAGACCTCTGCACGTGCTCGTGTCTCGTCTCAGCACTGATGTTCCCAGCGTTCCCCCCTCCCGAAGCTCTGAGACTCTCCATACATCCTTGGCCACCCACTTTAATCCTCCCCAGGTAGGTGCACTGACACCTGGTCTCTCTGTCCCTTTATGTTTTCGCCTTCTGCATCTGTTGTGAGGAAGGGTGTCATTGTGTTTACTTCTCTTCCTAATGTACCTCACACCCTCCTGTGCTTGAGGATACTGGATAGCTTGTATCACACTGCTTGAGCATGTTAGCCACTTAAGACAGCAAAGGTTGACCACAAAGGGTAGTAAATAGCTTACAAAAAAAAGTGCTGGGGTGTTTGTCAATAAGATTAAAATGCAATATGGTTGTTTCATGGTGTCTAAGAGAATCACAACATTCTTTGGTGAACTTGGCATTGATTTGAGATATATAACCATTTCCTACATTTTAGGAGAGCAAAAAATATCCCATTTTTCCTAAATATTTAGCCAACATAAATGATCCCCTCCCCTTACACTAAAGTGACATATTAATGAGTATTCAAAGAATTCATGGAATGCTCTTTGTTTATATTACATGTACCCTATTATTTATATTATGTGTTTTATATAATATATATATACACACACACTATATTAGATGCTTTGAGTACAACACATGGTTGGATGAAACTAGTCACTAACCTAGTGAAATAAAATCTATAACACTGGGTCAGGTAACATACATTCTGTGAGGGGTGGGTTAGGAAAGAGGAAATTGGGGGAGGGAGAAATAGGGAGGGAAGGAAATTGAAGAACTGAGGAGAGAATTAAGAATTCTGTGTCTTGATTAGAGATGGAGGGTTGAGTTTTTAGAGGTGACACCAGAGTAGGAATGTGAAGAAATGAATAACATGGGTGGAGTTTTGGGTTAGGCCCTTTCAAACCCAGTATAGTTATGTGTCAGTGTGAACAGATGTTTCTGAGACCAGCATTTGGACTGAGAGCTTAAAGGATAGAACACTAGAAACCCCAGGGCACTGGAGCAAACTCAGGGGGTTTAGAGGTCAGAGACGTGTGGGTTATCATTTCAGATGTGTTCGCTCTTCTACACATTGATCTCTTTATGTGTTGAGAAGGATATACGGTCTAATAATTGTTCTCAGGCTCATATTCTAGAAATATGAGAGAGATCACAGCACAGAATCTACATAAGTCCTCAGTGCAGTCTTCCATAATTGTCTTTAAAGATGGAGAAGCAGGTGAGGCTAGAGAAGATTGGCTTGCTCATGGGATATCTTTAGGGTAGCAGCAGGGAGTCTGAACATGATGCTTAACTCAGCCCATCTGTGTTGGGGAGCAGAATAAAAGGATCATTTGCAAGTTTTGTTCTAAAGCTACACACCCTTACCCACCCTGCCCCCACACATATACACAAGAAGAAGCAGCACAATTGCTAGCAGAGTGACTACAGGTTTGTTTGCTACATCTCGGGTACAAGTCTGGTACCTGACATAATGTGAGTCCTTTTCCTGCAAAACTTCATTGTCATTGTCTGTGTCATTTGGAAGCTCGTAATGTACTTAAGCCATTTACTCTTGTATCAAGTAGACACTAGGTATTGGCTTCTGTTATAATCGCATGCTAGCTATATATAACACTTAACTAAATTGCTTTAGATCATAAGTTTTGTGGGGTTCAGAGGGAAAAACAGCCGTATTTTTTGCAAAGATGTATAAGCCTAAGATTTGCTAAGCTGAGAAAGAAAGGAAGGAAGGAAGGAAGGAAGAAAGAAAGAAAGAAAGAAAGAAAGAAAGAAAGAAAGAAGAAAGGAAGAAAGGATGGCTGGACAGATGAAGGAAGGAAGGAAGAATGGAAGGAAGGAATAATCCAAAACAACAACAAAAACCCAAGAGGAAAAAACACAAATCTGGTTTGGAATACATAGACAGAAAACCTTCATAAGGCTGAACAGAAACAGATATGAATGGGGTTTGTAGTTCAGGTAAAGCTTGTCTATCAGTCTGTACTGATAACCCTTCTTTACTTTTCCAGTTTGAAAGTAACTTTTGAAGTAGCTACTTGCTTGCCAATGCGTTTTGTGTCTGATACATTCAATATAATAGTCCTTGCTTTGTTTCATATGAATATGAATTATATAAAGATGAAACCTATAATTTTATTTATTTATAAAATGCTGCCTTTGGTACATTATTCCTTTCATTAGCTAATTGGTGCCATTGCCTGCCTACTTATTCCAAACAGGCATCCATCGATGAAATGTCCTGGGTATTGATTAATGTTACTGCTCTGGTTTTAGTTTTCTCAGCTCCATCGATTTTCCAGCAACTTCTATAGTGACTTGAGTGGTGTAATGACGATTCAAGCCAAACCCCTTCAGCAGAGACCCGCATACTTTGCAGATAAAGCACAGTAAGTATTAAAGAATTACCTAGCATGCAAGAACAGAAACAGATTCCTCTAGTGTCAACCACCAGGTTAGGAGAGATGAGGAAAGGCGAGCATCGCTGTGAGTTCTCCACCCCTCGATCTTTACTATTAGATCAGCAATCTTTCTCTTCCTGCTCTTCATTGACCTATCAATAGAAATGTCCTTCCCTTCAATACATTCTCCAGACAGTGTGCTCTGTTGCTTTGTGTTTCCTGTCCTCAGGAAACTAGGTATGATCCTTAACTAAGTTTTCATTCCCCAGGAATGAACAAGATGACAAACTATCTGGGGGAGGGATCGGTGCATCTTCACGGCACCGACTTGGCCGCATCCCAGACCCTCGAGGACCACCGACTTCTGCCAAGAAAACACCAGTGCATAGGAGACTGCCTTCGATTGCGTCAGACCCACAGAGACTGAAAACCCCCACCGTCTATAGTGATGAAATTCTGAGGGGAACCAAACTGTGAGTCTTGTTTCTTTCATGGTAGACTGAAGGCCACAAGGGTCTGGGCCACTTGTCACTTTGGGCTGATGAACTGGTGGGCATGGTGAGCGGGTCCTCCACTAGATGTTACATCAGCAGTTTCTAAATGAGTTCATCTGTTTGATTTTGTTCTGGTAGCTGTCTACTAGAGTAAAAGCCCATGCAAATGCCCGAAGCTCAGGTCACTAAGAAAATGAAACTGATGGTGGGTGAGTTTGGATTAATTTAGTGGCCCCATTTGTAAAAATGAAAATTAATGCTTCTAAATTACAAAGCATATTTTATGGAAAGGTTTATGCAAAAATTATGCATGGTCATGCCTTGGATATAGATGTTCCAGCCAATTGGATACAATTACAGACCAAGTACATGACAGTGGTCACTTAAGGTTGTGTTGATATCTGGCATCATAGTTGTTTGTGTAGGTTCACTGTGGGACATTTACACAATGACAGGCTGACCTGAGAATGCATTGCTCCAAGAATTCCCAACATTAAGCTACACCTAGGTTACATAAAAATGCTTAAAAATAAATAAATAAACAAACAAGTAAATAAATAAAGGGTCAGGGTCTGGAGAGATGTCCCAGTTGTTCAGAGCACTGGCTGCACTTCCAGAGGACACAGGTTCAATTCCCTGCACCTATGTGGTGGCTTATTTAGAGCTTACCCACTATGGCTTCAGTTCCATGTGACCTGACTACCTCTTCTGGCCTCCAAGGCCACTGCATGCATGTGATTTGATCACATATGTGCAGACAAAACACCCATACACATAAAATAAACCTTTTTTAAAGTTTAAAGAAGCGTTTTCTACTTTCTTTAGAACAGAAAGTAACATCCAAGGCTAATGAGCAAGGTATTTGTTTCTTCCCTCATCCCAGAACTCTAAGGAGCTTCCTGCTAACTACTCATCTGCCAGGAAATACCTTAATAATAACAGCTGTTAGTCTATTATTACTGTTTTTAGTCAACATGAAAGCCAACTGCAACTATCATAGAATCACTTGAAACATAACTATCGGTGAATTTCCTGCCAATTTTATGCATGCTCTTAATTTTTCTTCTCTATTATATTCCCTCTGCTCTAGAATTATCCATCATATAATACATTGCTTTGTCATATAATTTTTTAATCTGACATTATACCATTTGTATTTCCCATGCCGCAAGTGTGATTGTGATTGAAAGAGTGATTTTAATAGCCACAAACTAACTGTATGGCTATATGGCTATTTAGTAAGTATTTGTTATTAGTGAAATTTCCCATTTGTTGTTGTTTATAGTATCACTGTGAGGTATAGCAAACATAATTTTGTAGCACTTATTAAGAACATCTTTAAGTTGTTTCTTGCTGGAACTGTATAGAAGCAAAACTATCAGGTCAAAGATTATGAATATTTTTAATATTCAGACTTTGCCAGGATGCTTCTTAGAATGGCTGTGCCTATTTAGAGCCTCACTGGCAGGATAGGTACCTCATTCTCTGTAACCACTACTGGTCAAAACTTTACTATATTGTCAGGGTCATAATTTCATTACTAGTGAATAAATTAATTCAAGTTGTTTCTAAAATATCTATTTTTATACAGAAAAAAGGCAGATTTTAAAATACTGATGTCTGATAGGTATACTCTCTTGTCTTTACTATATTTTAATTTGTATTTTCTCTCTAAATGCCAAAAAATGAGCTTTGCAGTCAGTGTGTAAAATCCAAAACAAAAGTATCACATTGACATCATAGCATCAAATCTATGAAAAATGTAGAAAATGGGTTATTCCTGGTGGCTATTGTTCTCCTGACAAACAACATTTTCTCTTTAACTCCGTGTTGCTTTTTAGCATCTTGAATAAAGCTTTGCAGTCATTCTCATTTAAACTCTGTGCTTTTATAGTTTATTGTATTCTTCATTGATTGTTCCACTCCATAAACCTCTATCATTTCTATTCAGGATGAATAGTAATTAATAGATTAGTGTTCAGAATTTATACCACAGTACCTTATTATATGCTGGATCAGGGTTATGCAGGCTTTCACGTGAATTGTCATTAACTCATCAGATGCTCTAGGGAGGATCTGTCTGGAACACAGCAATTCTGTACACTTTCTAGCATAGTTGTGCACTCAATACATGCAAGCTGATATTCATTGCTCAACACGGTCAATGTGAATAGTGCTGCTTGCCCCAGCTTAATATTTTATCTTCCTAAAATGCAGTTTGTTGTCATGAGTGCTGTTTCTGCAAGCAGTTGCAATCACCAGCTCAGATCATCCCTTCTCTTCTGTCTACTCCAGTGTTTAGTTGAATGTTGTTGTGTTTACAGGCACATTGGCATCGACCACCTGCCTTCCTCAGCAATTGCAACCTCCCGGAGCCGGTTACCCCCAATAGGCTCCGAGGCTGGGGAGCTGAACACGGCAGCTTCTGGATCCCGCCCTGTTTCTGTAAGATGAATTCCATTGTAATCACAACCATTTAGATAGTCTGTGGGAAAACAAACTTGGCACTCAGAGAACCCAGTTGTACCAAAGAGCTGTCTAGTTAGCTGTGTTCAACATGTCTTCACAATCTTCTTCTAGAAATTGAATGGCTTGTGAGACTCTAGAGAGAGTGGAAAGACTTGCTCACTATTTTATGAAATAAACCTCAGCTTGAACTAAATGAGAAAGTCCAGGCATCAATGACAGACCTGAAACTCTGATTGGTGTAGTGAAGACAAGAGCCTAAGGGGCAAGAGACAGGTAGTTCTGCACTCAAGTGTGGCCACACACATCCTGACTTGGTACAAGTAACTTCAGTGGTTCTCGGTTCTCACGTCTTTAGTTAGTAATAGCCATCAAGGAGTCCTTGCCAGCATTAGATGCATTCATAAACTTTCAATGTCTTGTACCAAGTAAGAGCTCAGTAGCCAATGCCCCTTGTATCTGCTCTCCTTTTTAGAGCTAACTTTCCATGTTTGTGCAGGGCAGAGGCCAATAGCCCAAGCCTAGCTCTGCCATGCAATTGTGGGGCTGGGGAAGGAGTGCTACCAGCAATGTGTATGACCAGGCCTCTCCCAGGCTTACAGAGACTCCATCTTTACTCTGGTATGAGCAATTGTATCTGCAGGACAAAGAGGGACATAAAGCAGAGACGGAGAAAACAAAAGCTAAGTTCGGCTCACACACAGACCTTAGGCAGAACTAGGACCCATTCCCAGAAAGCAAGAGCTATGGGGCTAGACTGTTTAATCCCAGGATAGAGTAATCAATGAAGCCAAAGTCAGATAAACAACTCTGTGTTTCAAAATCAAGTCTGTTAAGCCAGGTGATGGTGGCTCATCCCTTTAATCCCAGTACTCAGGAGGCAGAGTCAGGCAAATTGCTGTGAGTTCCAGGCCAGCCTGGTCTACAACACCAGTTCCTACGGCCAGGGCTGTTACACAGAGAAACCCTGGATGGAAACCTCCCCCTCAAAAAGACTGTTTCATATTTAGTATAATTTATTTACTACTACATATTTAGTATAATTTAACGTGTACAATTTTTGTGGTTAAGTTCTCTGGAGCTTATTGATATCATATTACACTGCATCTTTATTGAATTAGTGATGTGAATATCTACTCCACACACAGACTCATGCTTTAATGTTTTCTTGTCAAATCTTACACTTAGCAATCTGTCAATCAAAATGTTTGAATAAGCGGGTGATTGAATACATGAGTGAATGATTGAAACATTTGTAGGTTTCTTTCTGTTGGTATAAAGATTGTATTCGTTCTTTAAAAGAACCTATCATCTTCCATGTAGTACAGGGGAAGGCATTCACAAAACCGCGTGTTCAGTGCAATCCCTGACAGCATCGAACGGTCACCCCTTCGAGAAAGAACCATTGTCCTGGAACAGCTCTCAAGGCCCAGCACAACACATACATTCCAGGTGGGTTCTGTGTTTTCTCTAATTCCAATTTTAGATAAAAACTGAAAATAATAAGGCTCACTCTTGTTTTTCTTTTTCTCCTAATAGTCAGATACACCGAGAAAAGGTTCCCTGACACCTATGGAGTTTGTTGCTCACACTTGGACAGGTCAAAGTATTTTGACAGGTTAGCTTCTTCTGCGTGTAAAGGCAATGGGATCAACTGTGTGTGGTGACATATTTCTGCCATCTCAGAGTTCACGTGGCTGAGGCATGAGGTTGGAAAGATGGAGGCCATTCTGGGCAACGCAGTGATGGTGTTAAAGGAGAAGAGGGAGGGAGAAGTAGGAAAGAAAAAGGAGGAGGGGAGCAGTAGGAGTACAGAGAGAGAGAGAGAGGGATGGGGGAGAGAGAGAGAGAGAGAGAGAGAGAGAGAGGGATGGAGAGAGAGAGGAAGAGAGAGAGAGGAAGGGAGAGAGAGAGAAGGAAGGAGGGAGGGAGGGAGAGAGGGGGGGGAGAGAATGATGGTGCTATTTGTGAGATTGAAAATTTCAGAAAGTGAAATTGAAGACTATCTACCTCCATGCTCCTGCTTTGACCTCGTAGGAAGGAAGAGCGGGCACATGTGTTCCATGGTTGGCCTGACCTCAAACACCATGACAGACTATCACAGGCCAGCTGCTGAGTGGCAAGTGGCAATGAGAGACATGTTCCTAATTAATTGGGACCTTGCTTTCCTAAAACAAAGGAAAGGCTGTCTTTCTCCCATTATGTTCTCATTCCTTCTCAATGAACCCTTATTCTGGATCATCCATGAAAATCTAATGTGGCAGTACTTGAGAAAATGAATAGAGACTTGCTAAGTCTTTGGCAGTGTAGGGTTTTACATAAAAGAACTTATTCTGGACCTAGTATGCTAGTGGCCAAAAAACAGTTCTAGTCGGGAGAGGGGACCAGCAATGTTTTGATTTTTAAAGTGTCACCATATTTCTGTCCATGGAGGGAGCATTGCATGTGATGCACAGATCTGTAAGCTAGGGCATGTCCCAACCTCTCTGGACCAGGTCTTCTGTTTTATATCAAGTCGTGTGGCTAAAATAATCACTGGAAAATCCATGAAAAGGGAATAATAGCTAGTTGCTAGACATGCACCGCTCACTCAGAATTATAAGCCATTTGTGTTAGGGGCAGCTGAAATATTAAGGAAATATATTGTTTGAAGAAAAATTTTAATAACTTATAATTCTAAAATTAAATTAGGTTAGCACTGTATAACACATTTGTTACTGTTTTAACCAGCCTTCTTTAGCATAGTGAGATTACAGATTTCAGAGGTTTTGTTTCAATGAGGAGAGAAATCCAGAGTCCTTTATGTATAAAGTAAATGGGTATGTCACTTACTTATACCCTAAAACTTGCTTTTTTGAAAAAGTCATGCTATATAGCACAGGCTAGCCTTGAATTTATAATAATCTCCTGTCTCATCCTTCCTGCTGTTATGAACACATGTATGTTGTGCTCATGGATACTTTAGACCCTTAAGTTTTTTGTTGTCCCATTGGCTAATAGCTTTTGGATTCTTTTTGTCCTCCCTGGCAGAACTAAGTGACCCATTAGTGATAGTAGCACTTTCTCTAACAGGCAGACATGTTTCATGGTGTTTGGTGTATGTGTGTGTGTGTGTGGATATGTGTGTGTGGTGTGTGTATGTGGTGTGTGTGTGTGGTATGTGTGTGGTGTGTGTGTGTGTGGTGTGTGTGTGTGGTATGTGTGTGTTTGTGTGTGTGTATGTGGTGTGTGGTATGTGTATGTGGTATGTTTGTATGTGTGTATTTGTGCTGTGTGTATGTATGTATATGTGGTGTGTGTATGTGTATATGTGTGTTTGTGTGTGTGTGTATGTGTGTGTGTGGTGTGTTTGTATGTATGTATATGTGGTGTGTGTGTATGTGTATGTGGTGTGTGTATATGTGTATATGTGTGTTTGTGTGTGTATGTGTGTGGATATGTGTGTGTGGTGTGTGTATGTGGTGTGTTTGTATGTGTGGTGTGTGTGTGGTATGTGTGTGTTTGTGTGTGTGTGTGTGTTCATATGTGTGTGGTACATGTGCATGCTGTCAGTTATTCTCCTAAATCACTCCTCCCTCCTTTAAGCCTTGGCTGTCCTGGAACTCACTATGTAGACCTGGCCAGTCCGAGCCTTGCAGACATCTACCTACCTCTGCCTCTCAAGTGCTGGGATTAAAGGTGTGTACCACCACACCTAGTTCCATCTTACTTTTGGAGATACGTCTCTTACTAAACTTAGAGCTCACCAGTTGGCAATACTGACTGACCAGGAAGCCTCTAAGTGTCCACCTTTCTCTGTTTTCCCAGATCTGGGATTACAGGCATGTGTCACCATGCCTGGATTTTTCTGTATGTGCCGGAGATCCAAATTCAGATCCCAATACTAGCATGATGAGCCCTTTATGGACCAAACCATCTCTCTACCCCCATGGTTACTGCTTTGAACATAATTAGATGATGAGGGGGAAAGTAGGTCTCCATGTTTGTTTATGATTAAATAATGATGTTTCAAGGAAGTACTTACTCTGTGACAAGAATGAAAGCTGGGATGCAGCATAGAGCACAGGTCTGAGGATATGGTCCAATGACAGAGAACTTGCCTTGCTTGTGATATACTCTCGGTTCCAACACTAGCACTGAACAACAACAAAAAAAAAATTCAAGGTAGACTAGGTGGCTCGGTGTGTGTGTAAAAGTGCTTCTTGTTGTCAGGCCAGATAACTTGATTGTAATTCCAGGAATTCACATTGGAAGGGGAGAAGCGATTCCCAAGTTGTCCCCTGACCTCTTCAAGTGCACTGTGGTCCATGCAAGCACACACACACACACACACACACACACACACTTATTAAAATAATTCCTTTGTGAGACATGATCTCATTATGTCGTCCTGGCTAGCTGGGAACTCACAGAGATCCACATCTCTCTGCTCCCCAAGTGCTGGAATTAACCACGCTTAACAAATAAAAAAATGTTTTTAATGGAGCATATTTTAGCCTGTACTTTGCCAAGCATTTAGTCTAATGGGAAAGATGGAAAAGGCCATGAGAGAGATGAGCATGACCACCTTCTCATACTGGGCCTTAGACAGATCTCTGCTGTGGAAGGATGCATCCCAGCTACTGTGTGTGGCTGCAGGGTTGGGTGGGGCATTCTTTCCGCTTACTCAGAATTCTACATGATGATGTTTGCATTTGACTGCTTCATAGTTTATGTAAATATTACATTAAATAAAATGTCTTTAGTGTTCGAAATATGCTCTACATGGAACAGATGGAGCCATCTTTGGAGGTTGAATTTTAGTCATTTACAGCAAAATGCCCATGTCCCTTGTGTTTCAGGTTCACAGTATCTGCCTAAATCTTATCAGAGGGCAACTTTGACTGCAAGAAAGAGGTTCCAAGTGGCATCGTGATACTACTGCTCCATGTGAAGCCCTGGCCACACCATTTGTCACTTGAAAAGTGTAGGAACAAATATTACCTGGTATATAATAAACTCACCTCTCTCTCTCTGACAGCAGGAGATGGCAGGATACCCACAAGAAACATGAGTGAATAAGTAACTTAGCTTTGAACCTGCCTTTGCAAAGAGAATAAAAACTAACCTCGCCGACCTCTGTGGGAAACATGCCTGAAGCTCCTGGGACTCTAGTGCTTTGCTCAAAAGACCCTAGTATGTCCTTAAATTCCCTCTTTTCATCACGAATACTGACAAGTAGTGTTCACACACTGATAACATGAGTGCATTCCACAAGAACACGCCATTTTGTAACTCTAGACCATCACAGGATTTTGGTCTCATTCTCTTAATGATGCCATCCAAACTAAAGCGCAGTCATGTTTGAGACAATTTGACCATTTGAAAAATATTCTGGTTCTTCTGTTCATTGTGCTGACTTTAAAATAATTACTGAACATGCAATGTATAAAGTGATAGGTTTCGTGATGACAAGATTTCTCATCCCATTATTACCGTGTGATTAGCCATGAATATCTGAGAAGTCTTGCAAGCCAAGTGTGCTAAAAAAAATGAAAACAAAAACAAAGAAAGGTGGTGAGCTAGTTTTCATTGTTAAATTTAGACAGTACTTTTAAAAGTACCCCACATTTAAAGCTGAATATAAGCATAATCAAAATCTTTTGCATATGGTTCCATTAACATTTCAGTTGGCATGTTTGACAACTGGACAGGGGGAGTTGTAGCACCAGCATCCTTATGTCATTCCAACTTACTCTTTGCTCTGATGTCAACAGAGCCTCCCTCCCTGAGCCCTTGCTGAAAGCAACCTACCTTTTGCCCTTTTCCTACTCTGTATTCTTCAGAACACGTGTCCCACCTGACTACCACAGACAGGGGAGTGGAGAACAGGGAAGAAATGTCCGTTAGAGGCAAGGCCCATTTCTAGTGCTTCATCATGGTTCGTTTCATATACACACATCCCAAAGCAGATGAACTTTTCTCTTCTTTGATTATATAATTACACTACATCAATGTATTTACCGCAACCCCAGCACAGGATAGAGAACGGACGCTGGTCAAGTTGCTGTATTGACCCTTCCTTTCAGATAGACACTCTGAGTGTCACTCTCTCTGCCTAGGAGATGTGTCAAGCCCTCAGTTTCTCACAGAAAGCCGACAAAGGCATTTAGAGAATCATCTGAACCATTTCTCATCATAAGCTCTGGAAGGTCTTTGAAGAAAATATCAGTCTTAAAGCAATCGCTCTCCATATAGAGGGGTTTCTGGATGGATGAGTGGGTAGAGTCCTGCCCACCAGTTGTCTGACTGGCTGCTCTGCGGTGACCATTACTGCTAAGAGAGCCATCCACTCTGCTCTCTCACAGCCATTTAGCTCACTTCATATCAATTCCTAGGTGACGTCCAACTGTCTCTCCCTCAACCCAAGGTTTAAAACAGGAGGTACCTAATAAGATGGTGGCTCCAAGATAGATTATTATCTTGGAGCCATGGACATGATCATTTTTTCTTTTTTTTTTTTTCCTTTGGTTTTTCGAGACAGGGTTTCTCTGTATTGTTTTGGAGACTGTCCTGAAACTCGCTCTGTAGACCAGGCTGGCCTCGAACTCACAGAGATCCAACTGCCTCTGCCTCCCGAGTGCTGGGATTAAAGGCATGCGCCACCAATGCCAGGCGCCATGGACATGATTTAATGTGGCCTCACCATGTTTGCCTTCGGAGGTTTGATGTTGGATATGTATTATTTATGTCAGCAAAGTAATGCAGTCAAAATAGAACCTGGTACAGTTTTTATCTTCCAGGCATTCTGATTGGGAAGCACAGCTCCGCTAGAGGGTAGCTAGACTCAGAGGTCTTACCAATTCTGAGGCGACCTTCTCCGGGAACTTATTTTCATGTCTCTGCTAAAGGTATTTTATTTATAGGTGAATAAGATTAGTAAGTTAGCGAATGATGCTTGTGTGAGGGTGACATTGTTCAGACTGTAAAGGGAAAACCAGGGGAGTGCTTCTACAATATTTGACTTTCATAAGTGAGCCTTCACTTAGGCTGTCTCTGGTAAAAACTGAAAACTGGAAATCACTTCAGAGAAAAAAATTTCAAATGTGGGTTAGTGAGTCCGTGAATTAAAATATCTTTAATTTATCCCAAACCAAAGACAGAGTGAAAGAATTTTAAAATAATTCAAGAAAATATGACATTTGGTGGAAGATGGCTAGATTTCTCAAGGATATAAAAGGCAGTACAGATCTTTATGTCTGGAGGGAGTTTCTTTACTAATTGAGAGGTTCACTTTGAACGCCATAAATCATTTCAGTATATTTTTATTATTGTTGTTTTCTTATAATGATGGATGATTGTTCAGCAATTTAATCATTTAATTTTTAATAAAATATAAAATGTTAACAGAGTTCTCAGAATTCCATTGACTTTGTAAAAACATCCTTACATTTCCAATTTTTATGAGTTCTGTAACTATCTCTCACTTTGCAGTTTCTAACACGGAGGCTTTTGTTCTTTTCTTTTTCTCTTTCTTTTTCTCTTTCTTTCTCTCTGTCTTTTATCTTTGAATTAGGGTCTCATGTAATCCTGGGCTGGCTTCAAATTTTCTACACAGATGACCATGGCTCTGAACCCCTGATCCACCTATCTCCATGACCCAAGTGCTAGAATTATTTCTGTATATCACTACACTCAGATTATTCAATTATTTTTAAGTAGACAATCAACTTTTCCCAGAAATTTCAAAATAGACATGTAGGTAGTGAGAGGTTGCGCAAGAGCAGGGGAGAGTGGGTGAGAGCAAGAGATTGATTTGTGGAAGTGTCTTTCATCTGTAAGCACTCCAGAGAAAACTTTGTTTTAGAAGGTGACTCTTCTGTGTTGAACTCATCAGAAATATTTTTTCGAATAGCAAGCACTTTGTGTTAAATGTTTCTTTTTTTTTTAAATTGGGCTGGATGAGACAAAAGTTTCACTCTCAGAGAATGTAGATTCTAGGGGAAGAGATAAACCATAGGCAAACTGAGGAGAAATGTAGGGCCAACCAGCGATCAGCAGGACACAGAGGCTGATGAGAGAAGGTGACAGAGCACACAACTTCAAGTGGAGCAATCAGCCAAGGCCTTGCTTCTGAGATGACTCAATCAAAGGCCCAAAGATGAGAAAGTCAGCCATGGGAGTATGCACGAGAAGCTCAGGGTGAGAACTGACCCACAGGAACAGCACAGGGAAGACTCGGGGAGCAGCAGAGAGGCCAGGAGAAAATGCAGTGGTGATTAATGGTGGAGGGTGACTCACACAAGGATGCTGAGGAGGTAGCCAGCAGGGTGTGAGTATGGTGAGTGATGGTCAGAAATGTGAAACCACTTCTGCTCTGAGGATGAAGGGATCACTGGCAAGAAATCCCCCTATTTCAGGTTAGCTAGGCAGTAGCTAGGCAGATGAGAAGGTGCAGGCTTTTAAATTTACTCTGAAACTGAGCTGACAAGATTTAAAGTGTGATTGGAAAGAGGATCAAGAGTGACTCTAGAGCCTTTGCCTCATCTCTTGGAAACACAGTGGAACTGGAAAGAGAGGAAGAAAATAAGTATCGGAGCGTGTGAGAACGCTGTGTTTTCGATGCTCATTAGAAGGCTGAGTAGAAATGTCTAAGTATTCGGCTATCTGGAGAAGTACAGACCAGAGTTATAAAGTGAGTACTGTCTCCATGTGCACCTGCTCCTAGATCCTATTGTGAATTGAAAGTCTCATAAGGAAATCATGCATTTAATTTGTCTACCATACCTGTTAGTTAGCTTACCCTAAACTTCCTCAGGACACTGGCATTTAGCCTACTGTTGGACAAAAGTCATCTAATGCAAAGTCTTATTCAGTGTGTCCTACCACGTACTGAACACTGGTATCCAAAACGTGCTGGCAATACAGAACTCCACCAGTGATGGTTGTATGCAGTTACCCAACATTACCTGAGACTTTTCACTAGCCTTGGAAAAGTCAAAATTTAAAATTCAAGACTGAGTTTCTACAGTTTCTACCAAGTGTGGATTTTTTTTAAAAAGTATTATTGTAAAGTTGAAAAATCATTGCCAGCCAGTGAACATGGGTCCAGAGACGGTATTTTATTGTAAATATATGGGATTACCCAAGAGGATGCAAAGACGGTGTTACATTGTAAATGGGTGGGATTACTTGGGAACTGTCTTTGATATTCAACACACTGAGTTAAGCAGTGGAGCATATGATGTACCAGTGAAGGCTCTTTCAAGTGGGAAAAGCCCCCTTTCATATCAGTGGTCTTCAGGAAGGGAAGTGAGGAGACACATTCCTGTTTGGTTAGATTAGCTTTGTGAGGCTGGCAACCTGGCAGGAGCAGCCACACGTGTCACAGGTCCACTGCTTTAGTGTTGGCAATGCAGCCGTGTGCCCCAAAGAGCAGCATTACACTTCCTAGTGGGGATTCTAAAGGGCAGTGATGCTGTGTGCTTCATTGTCACACGGTTTCCTGTGGAAGGGTTTTGCCACACATTTCCCACACTCCCAGCTATCTGACTTAGCCTGTAACTTCAGTACTACAAGGCAGTGTGAAAAGAATCGTTACCTCATAAGAACAAGAAGGAAAAAACAAAACCCTGGAGAACTGATAAAGGTAGCAAAGCTTCTATTCTAGTATCAGAGCCCTCATCTTTAATATCTCTTTCTCATCTATCTACCCCACCCTCGAGTTAAGTTTCCAATGCCCACCCTCCTCATTAATGAAACACTGACATAGCTCCTGGTGTCCCGGCTCTGTCTGTTGCACCCTGAATACACACATTAACTTGAACTGACTCCCTGAAAACAGCCAGGGCTCTGAGGAGCGACCCTGAAGGTCCGGTAGCACTCATGCCTTCCCTTGTTTGGGAACTTTCCTTTGCCTGTATCCTTATTTGTCATTACTGAGGCATGCCCTGACCCAGTTTTTGAGGAGACAGGTTTATGTTACAACTCTTGTTTGTCCACAGAGATTAGCAGCAAATCGCACAGAAGCGTATCTTCCACTCGTATAGCTGTAATTGAACTCACAGCTCAGCCTCAGTCCTTTGGAGAGGAGGAAACTAAAACCCATGAGACATACTTAACAAGACTGAGTAAACATATTATTTCTTAAGGAAGTGACTCAAGAATGCAGAAATAAAAAGAAGTCGTCTTCTAAGTTCCTCTCCTCCATACCATTCTCTTTCTATTGTAATTCCAAAGAAAAGTTTTTTTCCGTTGTATTTATATATTAATGATACGTTGATGTGTAAGGGCAGTACATATCATAAAATGTAATACATACAGTAAATTGGTACAGCTCTTGAAAACAGGCAATTAATATTAAGGCTGAATATATACATCATCTAGCGCTTCTAGTCCTAGGCATGTACACAAATGAAATACATACATAATTGAGTTAAAAGGTATCTAAGAGAAGGAACATTCATACTTATTTACAGCATAGGAGACTTTCAAACAACGGAAACACCTATATTTATATTATTATGTTTTATGAAATATATTAATGTTCTGCACTAATATATGAATGCAGATACTAATATACTACTTTAAATAATAATGTAATGATAATATAATAATGCATACTTTGCTTTGGCGTTTGTTTCCTTTTGCTCTCTCACTTAATAATTTATGAACTTCTCATGTCAGTGCATACTGATGGCTCTCTAAAAAAGCAACAGGAGGGGAGGGTCAGATGTCTCAACTGGTCAAAGAGCTTGCCACCAAGCTTGACCAGCTGAGTTTGATCCCCCAAGCCCCCATGGTGGAAAGAGAGAGCTGCTGTCCTTTGACCTCCATGCTCCCATACATGTATAAAATACAATATATAATACAAATAAATTTTAATTGAACTGAGAAAAGCCCTGGGTGTGTTTTCTCCACATCCCAGAGGCCACGCGGGCATCTGTGTGCAATCCATGAAATCTCTGTAAGAAAGTAACTGAGAAAAAAGCGGGAATCCAAGACATCCTTTGGATTTCAACTTTTCTTGGCACTCTACCTATTTAGTGTGCAGGGAGGGACCTTCTACTAGGAAAGAACATTACTAGTCCCGCCCTTTGGTGAGGAATATCCTGTGTAGGAAGAGGGGTGCTGTTAAGGCTGGACACCTCCATGGGTAGTCAGAAAACAGGCCGTTAAGTGGGTGGGGGGGGGCTCTTGCTGACCTGTTCCTTATGCATGCCTGGTGATTTTAGCTGCGTTTTGACTGTGCACCATAGCTGTTGCTTCCTTCCAAACCCTCTGTATTCCTTGACACCTTACCTTTCCATCCTTTATTCCCCACTCCCGTTCTCTCAAAGTTCTGACTTTCTTTGAGGATTTGTGAGGGGAGTGCCTAGATTGCAGTCTCCTTTAGTTCCAGTGTCTCAATCGGTCAGCTGACACTCACTGGACATGTGACTCCCCTAAAGGTCTAGGTCACAGCAAAGTGGTTGCTGTGCATGACCCGGAGCAGGAACCATCTCCCAGGGCAGCCAGCCCGACCCTAGGGCAGTAACTGATGTAGGCTGCTCAGGACGAGTGGATTTAGAATTCCAAAGACTGCCTTTCAACACCCACGACTCTCCATTTGAATTTTTGAAAACAGACTGCTCGTGAGATCCGTAACTCCACACCCAGCTGGGGGTGTTGCAAAATCCTAAACAGCAAACCTTAGCAGGCCTCAGGGCGTCCCAGAGCTGGTGGTGGGAATTTCTAATTTCTTCTCTATCCAGAAACTGTCCTAAATTCGACCATCGCTCCCCTCCCCCACCCCAGTCCGTCATCTTTCTCATCTTTCCATACCGAGAGTCTTCTAGTGCATTCGGAACTTCAGAGCTCAAAAGCTGTTCTTTCACTTTCGTCTAGCACCCCGGAGACCAGTGTGGATTACGTAGGCTCCAGCGGTGCATCATTAACAAGCCAGGGGCGTTTTCTCTTAGCCTCAGAAACTTTGTCCCCAGGGTCTGGTGGCGGCGGTGGCTGCAGAACTCCCGGGCTACAGAGCACGAAGACGGGAGCAAAGGGACTGACGTGCCCTGGGTCCTCTCGCTGAGCTCGGAGCTCCTGCAACCGGGAGTCTCTGAACTGGTCCGGTCCCTGTTGCTTGAACTTGAAGCAAGACTTCCCTCACTCTACCGCTGATTACCACCAGCCCCCTACCAGAAAGGAAAGGGCAGCATCAGAGAGATGATGTGGCTGTGGTTAGGACTCATCGGGCAGAAGCTGTTGCTGTGGGGCGCGGCGAGCGCAGTCTCGGTGGCCTGTGCCACTGTCCTGCTCAACATCCTGCAGATGTTGGCGAGCTACGCGCGGAAATGGCAGCAGATGCGGCCTATCCCATCGATAGTGCGCGCCTACCCCTTGGTGGGACATGCGCTGTTGATGAAACCCAACAGCAGAGGTAAGGGTTTGTACAAGGAGCATGAACTCCGACGCGAAGGCTCTAGGCTCCTTGTCAGTCTGGGAAGCCTATCTAAGGGACTCTTTCCCACCCTTACCATACTTGGGGTCCTCACATCGCTCAGACCCACTTTCTCATTAGCTGCTAGGAGAAAGAAGAAAATTTTACCCCTAAAGAATAGATTCCCAGCTCACCGGATTCCAGTTTCCCCTCTGGTACCTGCCAAAGAGCTTAGTACACAAACGTGTGTGTACATAACAGATTGCAATATTTCCAAGCACCTGTGGTTCCTTCTGACTTCCTCTTTTCCCCATGTCTCAAAAGTCTCTTTTCCTCTGCCTTGGTGAGCAAACAGTTAAGGAGGAAAACTCCCCCTGGAAAGCTGCAAATATCCTCAAATTTCATGACAGTCCACTTTGTCTCTTAGTTAAGAAAACAGGAGAGCAGATGTTGCTTTGAGGCTTGTCAACCATCTGGCTCAGACATCCTATGGCTTGACCAACATGCAGTTAAAATCTTCTTGGCCTTTGTATTTCCGTCCTGCTAAGGAAGTTTTGCAAGGCTACTGCAGCAGGCTTTATTGCCTGGGCCTTGAGTTAAATTATATGGCTAGTTCCAAACCCCTTATTTATCAGATAGTGGTTTTTTTAAACTTGAAATAATCCATTAAAAATGTCTTATGCAATTTTTTGTTTTATTGATGTAAAAATTACCTTAAATCAGAAAGTTCTTAAATGTAGTGGGATTTGTGGTTCCCCGTTGGGAGAGTGCATTTGATCGTTCCATGACTGTGTAAGTTGGGATGACCAGAGCTGCAGATACAACCAGAATGGCACACTTTCTTCAGATTAATTCTGATAGTTGCTTTCCAGGCTGACCATCAACTTTAAATCTTCTTAAGATCCTTTATTATCATTTCCATGACCCCAGACAAAAACCGCACCCTCACGACAACTTGTCATGAATAAACTGGGACACTGTAGGAAAGTACGTACAGTACGTACCAAAATATTGTCTAGCAGAAATCAAGTAAAGTTGTCAACTAACAATCGACATGACTTATACTAGAAGTTATCCACCAGCACATGTAGGTATGCTAAAATCACAGTGGTAACACTCACGCTGTCTAGTTGCCTATACTGGAAAGAAAGCTAACCTCCCCTTCCACTCTGAGAATAGAGAGTATATCCTGATAATTCCACTGTGAAAATCATGGCAGATGAAATCCAAAACCCTAAATGCCCATTGGAGAATAAAAGGGTTATTAGTGTAGAAAGCCAAGTTCTCAGGAAACCATTCAGTGTTTCTGGTTATAGACTGAGGCGTCCCATAGTGCTTTGTAAAATGAGACCTGGGCATGCATTATTTTGAGTGTGTCTGTAAAGGGTTTTTTCACACGAGGCCGATGTGTGAATCTGAGTGGCCCAGCTAAGAAAAACTCATCTTTAACATGGGCAGAATCGCAGCATCCAACCCAGCCTGAGCACAAACAATACAGAAAGGAAATTGGTGTCTCTCTGAGCTTTTCTCCACTTGTTGGACATCAGAAGGCCAGGCTTGCCAGTCTCCAGACTGGACTACCTAGGCAAGCCTCTGGCTTTCCCCACACCTCTTCCCGTATTCTATGCGTGCATTTCATGTGCATAGCTCACAGCTGCTGCTTCTGAAGGTATAAACCGCTCACACTCATCCTAGGCATTGTAACATGTTTGTCTCAACGCAAATGCATTCTGGCCAGGTTGACTTTCGAGGAAGCACAGTATATGCATCTGGGAAAATAAAAGCACACTCAAGGAAGGAAGGAAGAGATCTGCACTCATGGAAGAAGAATCTTGAGGCCTCAGCTCTTTGGGCATCTGCATTTCCCCATTGTGGGCTTTCATCCATGTCACCGTCACACTTCTGTTGTCTGCCATTACATACATGCCAGCAATTATGCACTGAGGTGCGAGCAATTACAATGATGGTGATGTGTGTTTATATATTTTAATTTTTGACCCATTTCTTTATGAACACAATTAATCTGCTTATGATTGTTATTAGTATGTCTGGAGGTCTTGACTATAAAAACATACATGTAATTACTTATTTTATTGCATAACGTGGCCTCTGAGACATCCTAGTGTTTTCAAATGGGTTTTCACATAAACCACTCTCTGAAATTTTAAGGAATTACATAGATTTGTTTTGTTTTATTTTTTTCAAGACATGATTTCTCTGTGTAGCTTTGTAGACCAAGTTGGTCTCGAACTCACAGAGATCTGCCTGTCTCTGCCTCCTCAATGCTGGGATTAAAAGTGTGTACCATTATGTAAGTTTTAAAAATTATTTTTCTGTAATTTTATTTTGAGGATGTTAGTTCTTCAGGGTTTTAGATTTTATACATTTTGATCTTTTCTGTTTTTTCTTTTTTCATTTATTTATTGTTTATTTTGTTTGGGATCAAATTCTACTTGGAGGATATAGCCTTAGAACCCTTCCCACTTAACCCTTGGTAAGTGTATATTCTGGGGAAATGCACTGAAATCTTTAGTGACTAAAACCAGATGAAAAAGAACTCAGAGCTGGTGGGATTCCTTACAGTCATTCTCATGACTCTGAGAGAGGAGAGTGGCCACTTATAAGGACGGCTTATTCAGTCAACAGTACAAGACTTGGGGATGAGAAAACCATTGCTCAATTTTCAGTTATGAAACTGACTTATCTGGGAAGTTGTTGAGAACACTCTGAGTTAAGGGTTTTGTTGCTGTTTCATTTATAGAGGTCACTATTGCAGTTAGTTTAGAATTAAAATGCAATTTGAGCTAAATTTGTAGGCCACTGTCTAAGATGCACTTGTCTACCGTAAGTCTTTTAAGTGTCAATCAAGCATTTATGGAGACCTTTTGTACTCAGCATTGAATTCAACAAAAGTGGACCTGTCAGAACACCCTCAGATTGGATCTCTGCTCTGAGCCACGTTGTCCCTTATGTAAGAGGCTGTGCCCTTTATTCTGTGGCTAAGTGATATTTATGATTTATTAAACCTTGCCTGAGGGTTCACAGTACAAAGCTAGCCACAAGCCATAGTGCCAGGTGGTGATTATACACACTTTTAATTCCAGAATGCATACTAACTAGCCATCGAAGCCAGGTGGTGGTGGTACAAACATTTAATCCCAGGACTCAGGAGGCAGAGGTAGATGGATCTCTATTAGTTCAAGGCCATACTGAACTATAGGAAATTGATCCAGTCTAAAAGAGAAACAGCTCACACAAAGGTGATCTCAGCACTTGGGATCACATGCCTTTGATCCCGGCACTTGGGGTGTATAAGATAGGAGCAGATATTTAGTCTGGGGCATGTTTGGTCTCCAGCCACGTTGAGGGCAGGGTTGCTTCAGTCTGGGTAGAGATAAGAGCTTGGCTGTTTTGCTTCTCTAATCTTCATCTTGAAGCTTGAAACCCAACATCAGTCTCTGGGTTTTTATTATTTGTATTCCATTTAAGGTCCACATTCAGGGCTTGGTGACTTCGCTCTGAGTATTGCATGTGGACTCCAGTTGGCATTTAAATTCTCACATTTGCCAGTCTTTCCTGTTAAAAAAACCAAAGAGCCCAATCTTTGGATCTGACTCCCTCCAGCCACGGATTCAAATGCCCTCATCTTCCCACCACACCAGAGCAAGGAAGGCAGGAGGGAATGTGGGACAGAGTGCTCTGAAACCAATGAGTTGATACAGCCAATGATTTTAAAGACATTTTAATACAGACATGCACATATGTGTGTCTGTGTGTGTACATATATGTATGTGTCTATGTGAATGTATGACACATATGTATGGGTGCCTGTGGAGGCCAGAAAAGGATGTTAGACACCCTGCAGTTGGGTTTAAGGTGGTCTGCTATGAGTGGTGGTAATTGAACTTGGGTCCTCAGGAAGAGCAGTAAGTGCTTTTACCCACTGAGCCATCTCTCTAGTTCCAATGTTTTAAATTTTAAAACAATTTCTTAATTGACATTGTGTGTGTGTGTGTGTGCATCACAGAGCATGTGTGGAGGTCATAGGTCATCTACCTGAGTCAGCTCTTTCCTTTCACCATGTGGGCCCCAGGGTTCAACTCAGGCTGGCATCAGATACCTTTACTGGCTGGACCATCTTTCCTGCTCGTTCCCTGCCATTCCGACAGTACTGACAGTATTTTTTTATCTAAGATATGTTTGGAGTTTCTTTTCCAAGTGTGATTCAAATGTCAAGTTCTGGGATCTTAGGACAAAGCCAGAGTCTACCATTTTCCAGTTCCATGGCATCGGGCACTGATTTATTAAGAATGTACATTTTGTCACATCAAATCCTAAAAAGTATCTTACAATAACTTACATCATTGTTACATTTATTTGAAGGACAGGTAATATTTTTTAAATGACCTTACAGTTGTAGGAATGTTGTAAACTCGTGGGAGCTGCCATCCGCTCCCCAGCTTCCTTTAATGTCACATACGTCGTGTATTTGTTGAAAGGAGATGATGGACCTTTGCACAACTCAATCAACAAATTCTTGTCTCCATGGAATTTAGCACAAAATATTTTTCTTCCAGACTTTTTTCAGCAGTTAATTCAGTACACAGAAGAATTCCGACACCTGCCACTCATTAAACTTTGGATTGGACCAGTGCCCCTCGTGGCCCTTTACAAGGCAGAGAACGTGGAGGTGGGTATATACTATTACAGTGTATAGTGTGCTCTGTAGGTTATGACGTAAGAAGTTGATCAGGACACAAGAAACAAATACAGCTTCAAGTTTCATTACACTCCATCCAAAGACCATTTCGCTCAGGAGGCTCTGTACAGGCCGCCCATTCAGTGATTTCTTGCTGCAGTTCAGTTGCAATCCTGGGAGAATAACTCCCCACAGCTGTATGTATTTCTCATTAGGTCTCAAGATACTTGTTCTCCTTTTGAAAGAAGTCTTCAAGAGAAATTTCTGTTGTTGTTTTGGGGTTTTAGTGTTCTGTTTTGTATTGGAAACTAAATCTAAGGCCACTGCATGTCATACAAATACTCTTCCATTAAGGTCGATGCCTTTTTCTTTTTTCCAATTTTGAGACCATGAGTTGCTCAAATTGGCTTTGAACTCATCCTGTAGTTCCAAGCTACCCTTGAAAATGTCTGTAATTCTCCAGCCTCAGCCTCCTGAACAGCTAATGCAGTGACCCTGCACCAAACCTGCTATACCACACAATTTTAAGAATTCAAAATTCATGACTAATAAAATAGGGGGTGTTTTCATCATGGTTTTCAGAGTCTCCTATCATATCAGTGATAAGTTTATTATGGTGTCGAGGAAGCAGAGCACAAAGAAAAGAAACTAAGCCTTGGAGTTGTTTGCCCAGTAGCAAGGCCAGAATGTTCTCAAGTGTTCTGACTTGATGTTTGGAACAGAAGCTGTCTTAGTTATTTAGTTCTATGGCTTATAATGAAACACCATTAGAAACACCATTAGCAAGTTTAATTTGTAGCTTATGGTTTCAGAGGGTTAGAGTCTATGACGATCATGTCAGGGAAGCAGCAGGCAGGCAGGCATGGTGCCAGAGCAGTAGCTGAGAGCTCAAATCTGACTCCACAAAAATTAGGCAGAGAACTAACTGGAAATGGTATGGGCTTTTGAACTTCAGTGACACACCTCATTCAACAAGACCACACCTCCTAATCCTTCTCAAACAGTTCCACCACCAGGAGACCAATTATTCAAATATATGAACACACACACACACACACACACACACACACACACACACACACACACACACACACATATATATATATATATATATATATATATATATATATATATCTGGGCCATTCTCATTAAACCACCATAGAATTTATTCTCTCCATTTATTAAACAGTATAGTGAATATGGTATTGAGAAGGAATGAGGAACTTTTGTCTTAATCATCATTTATAGGATTATCATAAAGTTAAAAAAAATGGTTTTCTAACCCTTTTGACCCAGAGTAGTACATAAAGTCACAACCAGATATTATGAATGTCTGCCCACACATGCTTCTTTCAATATTGTGTGTGTGTATTTGTGTGTGTTTGTGTGTGTGTGTGAAGGCGTGTATGTATTTGTGTGTGTGTTTGTGTGTGTGTGTATGAGGCTGTATGGTGTGTTTGTATGTGTGAGGGTTGTGTGTGAGGTGTGTGTGTGTAGGTGTGTGGTGGGTATCTGTGTATGTGTGTTGCTTTCAATGCCTTGTTGCTAGCAAGGGATGGCTTTAGGTCTAGTTACTATATCTTAGGCACACATAAATTGTTCTGAGTAAGAGGCATGAGTGGGCTACAAAGAAAAAACAGGATCAATGGTACCTTCAAGCAATGCATTCAGTGAGCTTATAGGAACTAATTACATTGGGAATCCAAAGTAGAGTAAGATTGATTCCATTGTTTTTTTCTTAAAGGTCCAGTCATTCTAAACAGGCTGAATATACAGCAAATAAGCAGAATGAAAACATAGTCATAAATTATCTCCGGTCACATTATTAACTTGTTACAGATGGGGTAAAAGTTTGATTTGTAATGGTAAGCTACAGGCAGCATTCTCAGAAAAATGATTCCTACTCCCTTAGTTGTATCAATTAAGGGTCACATCAACCAAAGTGGATATTGATGTAGTGGTTGGAAATAGAGGAGTATGTTGGAGGAGTGGAATGAATTAGCATTACTATGGCTTTAGCGATTCTTGAAAAAGGTAGAATGCCTTTTAAACTCAGGAGAGGGGCCCTCTTCTACAGTCATGTGCCAGACCATGGCTTTTCCCAGTCATACTGAGGATCAGAGATGGTTGAATAGGAAAAAGCAAAGACATAGAGCCATATCCTCCACTAATGGATGGAATAGGGTATAGCTAATTGATGAGCTCTTGAGGAAGTTTATATAAAACCATGTGGGTTTTGTTGTTTCTTTTTCCTTTTTGATTTTTGTTTGTTTGAGACAGGGTTTCCATGTGTAATAATCCTGGCTGTCCTGGAGGTAGACCAGGAAGGCCCCAAACTCACAGAAATATTTCTGCCTCTGTCTCCAAAGTATTGGTATTAAAGGCATGTGCCACCACTCCCTGGTTTGTTTTGTTTTTTAATTAAACTTCTTGCTTCTTAATGATATTTTCCCACAGATGTTAGGGAAGGAAACTGAGAAATAAAGAAATCCTTTAGTCTCATGCTTTCATTTTTGTATTTGAGTTTTTAATAATAAATGGGTTTCTTTAATTATGGCTTGTCCTGGACAGCTATATGGAAATTTCCAAAGTTGGATAAATGAGAGACAAGTTTTAGGACCACCAGTAGGGTGTTAACTGTTTTAATTTGTCTAGGGACCCCATTGCAGAGAAAGCAAGTAATAAGTATCTAGAAATAGTTTCAACAGATTTGTGGATTTGTGTACCAGCAAAGATAAAGCCTGAAGAAGTATCAATGAAAACATGAACAAATTTAAAAGAACCATAGAAATGTATGTGAGTTGTATTTATTTGCCAAAGACCAATAGGATGAAAACCATGGGAGTTAACTCCTCTTGGGGCAGGGGTGCCCAATAACTGGCAGTTGGTACATGACTGGATGATTCGCTGAACCTGTGTTTGTGATAAGTAAATCATTTTTGTAAAGCTTTAGCTTCTTGGCAAAAGAAGGAACAGAAAACAGGGAGCTTGTTGAAGAAAAGGTACAAATAGATGTCAACAAGATGGTTTCTTTCTGTGTGGGGCTGGCACTCCTGTATGGATTGAGTAAGAACATGTTGAGTTTGTCTAGAGGTGGGCTTCAGATAGTGATGACAAGAAGGAGTCTAAGGTATGAACCAAGGTGGCTTAAAATAAGAGTGGAATGACTTGAGTCACACAGTGAGAATGTAATAGTAGACTGACAGGTGACTTAGGAAGTTGTTAGGAAGCAGAAAAGGCAACCCACAGTTTTGCCCATTGGGTGGCAGTTCCTATAGGGTTTACAAGAAAGTGACATATTCCAGCATCATAGTGTTAGGCAATGGCCCCTTTTGTCTGATAAAATGGTCAGTGCATGAGAAATAGGCTCAGGATAGTAGCTGTTGTCATCCAAGGTGATGTTGTCATCCAAGGTTAATTTAAGTCATTGTCCTGTTTCTGAGACATAAAAGGGTATGGCAGAGCTGCATTGGGAGTTTCCAAGGAAGGTCGAAACCAATGACATTGCCTAAGAGATGGTAAAGAAAATTTAGTTAAAGACACTTCTAATAGATGAGGTATAATAAAAAATTAATGACAATATATCCAAGATAGCTGTATGGAACAGATAGCTGAATTTTATCTGGGGCAAGCAGTAAATGAAAGTTCTATCATGAAACTTACAAATTGTTTAAAACAGCTAGGTTTGTGTCTTTAGTAGAGGAATCTAATAAGACATCCTCCATATAATTAAGTATATATAAGCCTTAGGACATTTGCATCAAATAGGGTACACCGCTTTATTTGCACACCTTTGGCAGATGTAGGGGTATTGATGTTATTGAAGGAGAAACTGAGACAGATGGTAAATAGCTGAGGCAAATTTTTCTATATCATCGATGTGTAAAGGAATAGTAAAACAAACAAGCCTTAAATAACATAACATGGTTGTTTTGAGGGACCATGGCAGGAGAGGGAGTTTGGGAGAGTAGGAGACCACAAGCCTACTACCAGAATTTGATTAATAATGGGGACATTATTTTAAACCCTTGTGTGGTTTGGGTGGTTTATTTATTATTTAGGGTGCTGGCAAATTGTTGAGCCACAGTTTCCAAGTGTCCTTTTTAAGTTACCTCTTTTTAGAAGGCCATTAAACAGACTTTAAAAAGCTTTTAAATTTACATCCATGGAGGAATATCATGCTCACCCTTTACATCCAAGGTTGTGGCAAAGCCACTGTTCCCAGGAAGACAAGTCTTTAGCTGTGGATGAACTAGCATGGCAAGGTAGGGTCTAAAAGGATGGAGGATTGGACCAGGAAGTGTATGTTGTTGAGTAGGAGGTGGGGCTTTGTCATTGGTTTTTCATAAATTCCCTATTTTCTCTTTATAAGACTCTGTACCTAGTCTAATTGGTTTCAAAGAGTGAAATTTTTTTTTCAAGTTTCTGCAGAGTCCCATAGTCAGGATACCAGGGACAATATTTCTGACTTATGTTTAAAAGCCGTAAGGCCTTAGCCCCAGTTCCTTTAAGTAAAGTGATTAAGAACTCCCCATAATGCTTTCTCAATTTGGACACTTTGGGGAGGGCCTGGGCTCTCCCTGGAATGAAATGACAGACTCTAGAGATCCCCCATGGAAGGCCTTACCCTCCTGGGGAATAGAGTAGGGATTGAGTGGGGGACTGGGGGATGGGGGAGGGAGTGGGCATGGAGGGGAGGGAGAGGGAGCTGGGACTGACATGGGAAGTAATCTTGTTTCTAATTTAAATATATAATAAAACGTGTAAAAAAAAAAAGAACTCCCCATAGTGAAACCAAAAGCCAAAGACAATCAAGGGATTCACCCATTCATTTTCCTCAGCTCCATTTAGTCCCCAAGCTTGGATGACAGTTTACTTGTATATTTGAAACTCTGAGCAGATTTCTTTTAGGCATGAGAATTAAATGAACCACAAAGAATAATAAATGTTGATAAAATGTTAATCTGAACAACATGCCTAGTCCAAAGTTCTTATAGTGGTGATGTCTAAATCCGATATTTTTTATCTCTTCTTAAGGTAATTTTGACCAGTTCAAAGCAAATTAATAAATCATTTATGTACAAGTTCCTACAGCCATGGCTGGGACTAGGACTTCTCACAAGGTAAGGCACTGTCTGATACTTTTTTGATAGGCAATTATTCAGATGTTCAGTAGCCTCCAGCTATGGTAACAGACAGTTCCTAGCCAGGCATGCCTATAACCAGAATTTATGAGTTCATAAGTGGAGAAAGCACTCTAAGAATTAGGAGGTCTGCAGAAGAGTGAAAATGGGTGGTGGAGGGAATCCTTGAAATGCCAGTGGGGCAGCCAGGCAGCCGCAGATAAGTACATAAATCAGCCTTGGTCTGGCATCTGGAAATATGTCTCTTCCCCAAGCTAGGGCTCAGCCAGTAACAAGCACTTGGTAAACTGTTTTTCAGGATTCAAACAATAGATATTAGGGTCGAGTAACAGAGCGTATGGGTGGGTGTCTGAAGACTGAGGCTTAGGGGACAGGCTAATTTCAGAAATTCATCTTAGAAATGGACAAAATATTCTCAACATTACCTCATGAAAGTAATTTTAACTATTAATGTCATAGAATGAGGTCCAGATATCGACACCGTGGGAATAAGTAAAACTGTCATACATAGGTGGCTGCCTTTCTCGTTCGAAGGAGATCACTGCGGTGCTGTGGATGAGGCTGTTTTAGAATTGTGTGGACTGGGCGGGGCTCATGGCTGCTGCACTGTGGCTTTCCTCCTCTGCAGTTTATGAGGATGTGTTTGTTGTGCTTGCAGTACGGGGACCAAATGGCGCTCCAGGAGGAAATTGCTAACGCCCACATTCCATTTTACAATTCTGGAGGATTTCTTAGATGTCATGAACGAGCAAGCAAACATATTGGTTGAGAAGCTTGAAAACCATGTCAACCAGGGAGCATTTAACTGCTTTGTTCACATCACCCTTTGTGCTTTGGATATAATCTGTGGTAAGTCTGATGGGCTTAAGCCGTGAGAAGGAAATGGCCTGAATAGAAAATAAGATTCTGTGGGAGGGAAAAATGAGGGGATTGGATGGGAAGGACCCAGGATCCTTCAGGGTAATGCTATTGTAAGACTCTCCCCCAAGAAGCAGCAGCCATTCCTGGGAGCAGGGGTGACCAAAGCAGACCTTGTGTCGCCTTGCCTGGAAGGCCAAAGGGAAGGGGTGACAGGAACTGTAAATGGGAGGGACATCAGGGAAAAGAAGAGGACACAGAAGAGAACAGAACAGGATCTACCTGTCTCCTGGTGTCCCCTGCCACACGGCAAGCACAGCTGGCCGTGGAATAAACTGTTGCTTCTACCCGTGTGTTGCAGAAACAGCTATGGGGAAGAACATTGGAGCTCAAAGTAATGATGATTCCGAGTATGTCCGTACAGTATATCGGTAAGTACGTGCGTGCGTGCATGCGTGCGTGCGTGCGTGCGTGCGTGCGTGCGTGTGTGTGTGTGTGTGTGTGTGTGTGTGTGTGTGGTGGGTCTTTTAATTTGCTTTAAAATTGCTACTGATTTGGACTTTGAAACCATTACTAATCACTAATTACACCTATTTGTGTGGTATTTTGATTGTGTTTGAAGTGACATTTTAATCTAAAGATTCACTTCATAATATAGGCATCAACTTTAGAAACAGGGAATTGTAAATTTAAATTGTGGTATATCCGAATGCTACAGAAATTTGAAATCTCTAATTGTACCATGCTACCACATGACAAAAGAAAGTTATAAACAATGCTAATAGCATGTCAACTATTAGTATATATTAGATATTTGTATGAACACTCTATAACAGTTCTCAACTTGTGGGTTGTGCCCCCTTTAGGGGGTCAAACAGCCCTTTCACAAGAGTCACATATCAGATAACTTACATATCAGATATTTATGATTAATTACAGTAGCAAAGTTACAGTTATAAGGTAGCAATGACAATAATTTTGTGGTTGGGGGTCAGCACAACATGAAGAATTGTATTAAAGGGTCACATTATTCGGAAGGTTGAGAAACACTGTTCTAGATCTATACCCCAGCGGTTACCACTGTTCTGTGTATGCTTTTCTTTTTTAATAGGAATTTTTCAAGACCATTTATTTTATTCCATGTCTTCTGCATTGAGTAGGTGATGATTTTGCAATTGAGGCAATCTTTTTTTTAACTTTAAAAGTACTTGGAGTTATTCACTTATTAAGAGAATGGGGCTAGGATTTGATTTTTACTATCTTAATTTATTACTCAATTATTTATCCTAACAAATATTTACTGGACATCGATGATCAGTTAGTCATCTTATAGTTACCAGTTGGCTTTAAATCAACACAGACAACAGAATAGTATGGGAGATGGCCATTGAAGCAGGAAATATGTTTAGGAATTTTAACAGCTATTGAAGAAAAGATCAAGTTGTTATCAGTTTGCAAAACATGGATATGTTCCAGGAAAGGCCCCATAAAAGAGTTGCCACTTAGACTGTCCTGAAGGAGACTGAGCACAGCTCTGTCTGCCCTGTCACTTGAAATGACAATCAGGTGCTGGAAACAGTTCTGTGACAGATTGCTGCTTAATGTGCAATTTCTTGTAAAGACTGCTTATTTTTCTAAATCATATTTATGGTGTGTGTGTGTGAGCACGCGTGCGCGCTACGGCTCACATGTGGAAGATGAGAACAATTTGTAGAAGCTGTTTCTGCCATGTATGTCTTAAGGTTGGAACTCAGGTGGCCAGGCCTAGTAGCAGGTTCATTTACTTACTTGCTGAGCCATCTCCCTGGCCCCAGAGATTTTAATATCCTCAGAAGAGTGACTGAGTAAGTACATGAAGCTTAGAGTCAGATTTTATGGAAACCTTTGCTACAAGTGCCCTGACATTCCTGGGAAGTTGTGAGCTTGCACTGTAGAAATAGAAGCACTGGACAGAGGCCATCTGAGGTTTTCATCGTGGAAATATTTGCTTAAGACCCATGATGTGTGTAGTAATCTATTATTTCCCCATTTAGCATTAAACATGGATCTCTATTAGCCTTGAGCACTAATCAGTATCATTTCATTTATTACCGTTATCAAGGTCAAGTTCCAAAGGTCAAGGAATAACATTTATGACATGAGGATTCTGTTATCCTTTTTATAGGATGAGCGATATGATACATCGTAGAATGAAGATGCCCTGGTTTTGGCCTGACCTTTGGTACCTTATGTTTAAGGAAGGACGGGAACACAGAAGGGGACTCAAAAGACTACATACCTTCACCAACAATGTAAGTTGTGTATGTTTGTGTGTATGTCACTGTGTGCATGTGTTAAAATATGCAAAGCATAGAATCAAGTGTAATTAAATGACTTCACAATGTTGTGCAGTTATTACCAAATATGAGAATATTCTTTTTTGTTGTTGTTGTTCTTTTTGGTTTTTCAAGACAGGGTTTCTCTGTATTGGAGGCTGTCCTGGAACTAGCCCTGTAGACCAGGCTGGCCTGGAACTCACAGAGATTGCCTGCCTCTGCCTCCTGAGTGCTGGGATTAAAGGTGTGAGCCACCGACGCCTGACTACAAGAATATTCTTAAGTCTAGGATTTTTATGTTTTTTTTAATATACCCAACTGTAGGACCACGAAGTAGAATATGTGTTCCAGTAAAGTTAAACAAAATAGTAATGCCAAAATGGTCAATTACATTTAAATTACATATTCAGCAGGCATTAATGAAATAATTGCTGGGTGTCATGCACTGTGCCCAGTGCTGGAAATAGAGAAATTAATTAGGTAAGCATGTTCCCCATCATATTGGAGAACAGTCTAGGATAAGAAGTTATCCATAATCAAAATTACAGAATTCTCCATGATTTAGAACACTTATTAACAAACAGGGTTCTGGATAGAGGAGGAAGGGGACAAAGATCTGTGCACGTGTCTCTTGGGAAATGTTTCAGGAAGGCAGTAGTTCTCACATGAAAGGACATCTAATGCAGTGCATAGCATAATTCAGTGAAAATTAATTGGATAGTGATATTTTCTTACAAAATGAAAAATAAACAGGTGGTATGGGTTTTGTTGTAAACATAGAATATTCACCTTTGGGTTGAAGACTTGTTTATCAAAAAGCAAGGTTTAATTGAAAATACAGGACAAGTTGCAATGTGGTGAAATTTTCTGCTTGAAAAACTCTTTCTTTGCTGTAATTTTTGCTTAAAATATATTGGGATTGCTTCTTTGTGATAAGCACAAGCCACCAAGGGGTAATGTGATTAAGTCAGTGGATGTTAAGTGAATGAGATGCTGCCTTCAGTTGCCCACAGAATAATCACCAGGTAGCAGGAGGAGGAGAAACGGCCACATTGTATAATTACCTTTTCCCTCTGAAGGTAACAACGTCAACATCAGTGAAAATAATGGATTCCAGACTGCATTGACAGTACTGTTCATTTTGCAAATATTGAATAATATATATTGTGACACAAACACTTATTGATTCTATAAGAATAAAAGAACACATAGCATATTGCTACCACATTTCTGAGGATACTCATTTAAGCCTCTTCATAGGAGGGTGACCTATGAAGTCAATTACACAACAGGAAAAGAAAATATTCATGAGCACAGCGGGTGTATGGACCCCTTTTGTTGTCATTATTAAGATCTAATGAAACGCTGCTTCCCAGTGTTCTTAATCAGGGTGGGGGAATCAGTACACAAAGGCAGACTCTGCTAAGTGGATGGTGGTACTTGAGATTATGGGGGAACATTCTAAAATGCAAATATGAAGCAAGTCAGGTGATAAATGAAATGGAGACCAATGAAGAAAAGGCAGGTACACAGAGAGTGTTCAGGACCAGAATAGGCATGTGCAGAGAAAACCTCTTGTGTGGCTATCACCTGAGACCTGAAAATAGCATGGGATCCAGTTGCATGATCACTCAAGCGCAGGACATCCAGGGCTCACTGAAAAGCATGTAGGGTGAACTGGCTCATTAGCTATTGGTTCATTAATTTGCTATTTCCTTTCTCCACAGCTAGATGCAATCACCAAGAGGGATCTAGAGTTAGTGTATTCTGTAACTGTGTCCCCTCTACCCGTTACACTTGCCCTCATTAGTTCCCTCACGTCTCTAGGGGACTGTTTAGTAGACAGCGACTTTATTCCCATGTTAGAAAGATTGCAAAAATAGGACTTGAAAATTACAGGTTTGTCCTAACATTAAATTTGTATTTGATAATTTCACCACATGACATAGTGTTAACTAGAGGCTTTGTTGCTTTTTCACGAGAACCCAAGGTGTCACTGAAACAGGAAGAATAGAAAAAGTTTGGGAGGGGACAACAAGTTAAAGTAGCCAGCATATTTTCATAGAAAAAAATGTGCCAGTAAGCCTTACCAAAAGTGCAAATTTTGTATTTGACGTTATTTAAATCCTCCAGGTCATTGCTGAACGGGTCAATGACATGAAGGCAGAGGAAGACTGTGCAAGTGCAGGCACGGGTTACTCCAAAAGTAGACGCAAGGCCTTTCTTGACTTGCTTTTGAGCGTGACTGATGAGGACGGAAACAGGTTAAGCCATAAGGACATCCGAGAGGAAGTTGACACCTTCATGTTTGAGGTAATTTTTGTTGCTAGAGAATTTTCATTATTGAATCATTTCACAGCCCAGGTTTTACTGTGGTGGTGACACCTGCTTAGCACACTCAAGAGCTAGGTTCCATCCCCAGCATGACAGCAACAAGCAAGAAAAAAAAATGGCGAGGGCTAGAGAGATGACTCAGGAGTTAAGAGCACTGGCTGCTCTTCCAGAGGACCCTGGTTCAAGACCCAGCACTCACATGGCAATTCACCACTGTCTGCGACTCCAGTTTCACAGGATATGGTATCCTCACACAGATATTCATGCAGGCAAAACACCAATACACATAGCAATAAAAATTTAAAGGCAAAACCAAAACAACACCCCAAAAAAGCAATTCTGCAGAAAGGGGCCATCAGGATGGCTTGGCTAGCAAAAGGGTTTGCTATGGAGCTTGGACCACCTGAGTTGAATCCCTGAAAGCAACAGGGCAGAAGGAGAACTCTAACTCCTCCAAGTTTTTCTTTGATTTACACACATGTGCCCTGCCATAACCCCCACTCACACAAACATAAATAAATAAATGTGATTTAAAACAGCCCCAGTTTCAATGATCACTAGAATCACAAGCATGGATTTCAAAAATCAAATAGTAAAGCAACTTAGTATCACTGGAAAAACTTAATGCCATCTGAAATTATAAAATTTAAGAATGGCATGATGATGGAAACTTTTTTTTGTTAAGAAAACTTAAGATCTTGCAGACTTTTCCCAAAAAGACACGAAAGCTCACGTTGTCCTCCGTTCCCTATGTTGCTTCATGCTTCTCTTAAAGTCCCCAAGCAGGTCCGTTTTGCTCCTTTTAAAGTCTGGCACTTACCTACTGCTGTGGGTTGCTTTAGACAAAGAGAATCTAACCAGTTTGGAATTCTAACGGGATTTCTGGCATTTTAGCATTTCCTAAAAACACTTCTTGCAAATATTCTTTAAATTTCATATGAATATTACAAAGAGTGGAGCTTTCTACACGTATGTTGCAAAAATTAAGGTTTCTGAAAGTCCTAAGTTGTAGCAACAGCCTCTGAGTGGAGGGAAGGGAAACTTGCATGGACTTTCAGAGGGTCCTAGAGCGCTGAGCACTTGAATTGCATTGGCTGTTCTGCCTCCAGCCCTCTGGATGTACTGCCCATACTACTGATTTTGCTTAAATGTTTATTTCATTTCTAACTGATAAATAACCATTGTTTATGGTTCTAGAGTCCAATGTGAAGCTTTGATACAGGTATGTATTAGGCAATGTGTACATCATTAATTAATGAAGCCATCACCTGATTCTGGAGCGAGAACATGCAAAATTCACAAAATTCAATGCTAAACAGCATTGTAACTCATTATAGCCCACCAAGCTGTGCAACAGATCATGACAATTACTGCTTACACATGAAATTCTGTGCCTTTTGAGGATCTCTCCTTCCTTCCTCCCCAGCCACCAGCCACAGGCTCTGGTAACTGTCATTCCACTCTGAATGCCTATGAGTTAAACTATTTTTAGTTCCTACGTGTTGGTGAGATCATGTGTTATTTTTCTTTCTGTCCCGGCTTATTTTACTTTCCATAATGCCCCTAGATTCATCCATGTTGTCACTGATAACAGGATTTCCTAATGTTTAAAAAGAGAATGTGTACTATTTTATTATGGATGCCCTACAGTCTTAAAATTCAATCACCTGTTCATGAGCATCCCTGCTGTGCAATCTATCTATTCAGTGCAGTTCTTATCAAGATCCCAATGATGTTTCTCAGAACATAGGCAAACCGATCCTAAAATTTATATGAAACCACAAAAGATACCAAAAAGCCAAAACAATCTTGAGCAAAAAGGAATAAAAGAGACATATTGGTTACTTTTATTAAAAATACACTACAAAGCTATAGTAATCAAAACAGTATGGTTAAGGCATAAAAACACACATATAGGCCAGTGGGGTAGATGATTCAAGAAATAATTATGCGCCGGGCGGTGGTGGCTCACGCCTTTAATCCCAGCACTCGGGAGGCAGAGGCAGGCGGATCTTTGTGAGTTTGAGGCCAGCCTGGTCTACAGAGCGAGTTCCAGGACAGCCTCCAAAACCACAGAGAAACCCTGTCTCGAAAAACCAAAAAAAAAAAAAAGAAATAATTATGCATTTATAATCATCTGATATTTGACAGGGGTGCTGAGAATACACAGTGGGAAGAATCTACATGGGATAGAGTCTGGAAAAGTAGATAGTCACATGCAGGAGTATAAAAGGTAACCCTTATCCTACCCTTTAAACAAGAATTAACTCAAAATGAACTAAAAAGGTAACTATAAAACAGGAAATTATAAAACTAATAAGGAAAAATATGGGGAAAGCTCCCTAAAGCCTGGTATAGGAACCCATTTCTTGAAGATGACTTCTAAAAAATGTAGGCAACAAAAGAAAAAAAATATGCAGACATAATTGTCTCACTTCATCTCTAGAGAAGGCTCTACCATGTAAGAGAGTACAGATGTACTAAGGGTCTGAAGATCTGGGCTCTCATTCTGTGCCAATGAACTAAATAAAATGGCTTCAGCCAGTCCAGCTCTAACTGGTTTCCCTGTGTTGTAAATAGAGACCTAGACTGAATGAGTGTTTTTACATTCCCCCACCCTTTTTTTTTTTGACCAGGGACAGGGAAGGTCAGTGGTAGATTACTTTCCTAGTATGTGTGAGGCTATGGTTCAATCCCCAATAAAACAGCTATCTTAACTACCTTGCCTGAGTTACTTTTTGTTGCTGTGATAAAAAATACCATGATCAAGAGCAATGTATAGAAGAGTTTATTTTGTGATATGATTCCAGGGTTAGAGTCCATTATGGTGAGGAAGTCATGGCTAGCCTGGTCTACAGAGTGAGTTCCAGGACAGCCAAGGCTTCACAGAGAAACCCTGTTTCAAAACCAAACAAACAAAAAACTAGTAACACAACCCCAAAAGTACACCGAGAATCATAGAAGTCATATGTGAGCAATGCAGCAAATATAGATTATCATCATTTCACATTAAGCACTGAGGTCTTACATCTCTATTTTTCCCATTTTCTTACACAGCAATATATATGCACATAATGTCTCCATATACACAATATGTGTGTGTGTGTTTGTGCAAACAATATATCCAATTCCCACCTATAACCATCCTTTCCCTCTTGTAACACAGCCAGGCTAATCTTGTTCCTGTAGCTCGAACATGTTCTGAAGTCTTGATGTTTTTTTGTTTCATTCAGTAGGAAACCTACCATGTTCAGCTACTATACTGAGGCTTCCTCTATGCACTGGATGTAGGCTGTAGGCTGTTTTCTCAAGGCTCCCATGCCCCCAGGTTTCAGCTATTAAACTATTGCATTGAGATCCGGACCCCCTCCTCTTCCCATAGATAGGCTTCTGTAAAGTCTGCTGTATGATTTGCTCTGTCCAGAGGAACCTCAGGCTACATCTCCCACGTACTTGACTCGGGCTCATAACCATATGTTCAAGAGACGCCACTGAGTGTTAGCAGTGCTTCCTTACCTCACACAGCAGCCAGCTGAGCCACAGCACCCAGGTCTGGTCTGCAACCCAGAGTCACTTTGTAAAGGAATTGCAGGTGTATGGAAATGCCCCAGGGAGATGGAATGAGGAAAGAGGAGAATGCTGAAATACGGAGAGGAAGAAAGGACCACAAGGATGTCTTGATGGGGATTTGACCACAAGCTATGCTGAGTCTCACAGCAGGATGGATGGTGCAGGATCTGTTTTGTCATCAGATTTCATGCCCAATTCCTACTTTCACTTCCTTGGGGGAAGTTATTTTTTTAAATCTCTAAAACATAATAGTAGGAATGAACATTTCCTGGAGTTACGAAGATTAATTTCTACAAAATGCTTGGCATCTTCCCTGAGACTTGTCAAGTACCAAATTGACTATTAGCCAACTCCTTCGGGAGAGACCATACCCAGAACCCCACAAACACTTCTTAGTGTCCAGCACCAGCAGAGGAAGCCAGTCAAGGCAAAAGTTCTAGGCAGGACCCTGGAGCAGAAAACAGGAATGCTGTTCAGCAGCTTGCTTCTTCTGATGTTCAGCTGCCTTCCTTGTATGTAGCCCAGGTCCACTTGCCTAAGTATGTACAATACACAAAGGGCTGGGGCCTCCCACATCAATCGTCAATCAACAAAAATGACCCACAGACATGCTGTAAGGCCAGGCTGGTGGAGACTCAATTGAATCTCTTTCTTCCCAGGTGTGTCAAGTTGACAATAAAACCAAGCAGTACAGTAATGCTCCAGCTGAATGATTGAGGTGCTGCAGTCATTGCGCAGCTGTGAGATACAGGAGAGTATCCTCATGCACACCTCAACAGAACTGTGCCTTTACAAGTCTTCCCCTTGTATTTACAGGGTCATGATACAACTGCAGCTGCAATAAACTGGTCCTTATACCTATTGGGTTCTTATCCAGAAGTCCAGAGAAAAGTGGACAAGGAACTGGATGACATGTTTGGTACGTTGGGCCCCTTTGTTAGCTCTGTCGGAAGCCCTAAGGCCACAGAAGCAGTGGTCATTCTTGACCCATAAAGATGCCATTGTCATCAACAAAAGGCCATGGTATAGGACTCCTGCCTGCCGCTGCCTCCCTGACAAGGTCTAGTGAATTTCCCAGCAGGCATTTGACAAGTATAGAAGTTAAGGATGCACAGATCAATGACACTGTTCACAATGGTCCTACTGCTTAATAGGTGACAAAAACAAATATGCCTACAGCTTAGAGTCATAGGCTGTGCCCTTGAGCAGCACCAAGAAGATTCTGTGTGGGAGCACAGGGCTCGGGTGCAGTTAGTTATGAGGGTGATAAAGGGAGAGTCCTTTCATGGCCTGCGTCTGACATAATGAGAGCGGCGACGCAGGATGCAGTAGGAGGATTTGTGTCTACTACACAGCAAGCCCTGTCATCTCTAGAATATCTTCCCACCCCACAGGAAACTTGTCCTGCTGAACAGCCACTCATCTTTCTTCTCCTAACCCTGCCACCAGAACTCACTCTTTTACTTCCCATTTCTAGAAACAGAACCATGCATGACCATTGTCTTTGTGATGTGGCCATATTGATATATTGAAATGGGAGATGGTCTTGTCTTATCTGGTTTCTGTTATTTAGCCGAATGCTTCATCTTAATTTATTCTTCATGATATCAGAAGGATATGCTCTGTCTGTGGACACTGGACTTTCTGGGTAGTGGCTCTGTGTTGCTCTTTAATGTCTCACCTCCCTAAGCCTAATTCCGGCTTTGTTTACATTTTGTACGTTTATTTTAACCAGGACAGTCCCTTCGCCCTGTCACCTTGGAAGACCTGAAGAAGCTTAAATATCTGGATTGTGTCATTAAGGAGACTCTAAGAATTTTCCCCTCGGTCCCTTTATTTGCCCGGAATCTCAGTGAAGACTGTGAAGTCGGTGGGTATTACATGAATCTCAGTGAAGACTGTGAAGTCGGTGGGTATTACATGAATCTCAGTGAAGACTGTGAAGTCGGTGGGTATTACATGAATCTCAGTGAAGACTGTGAAGTCGGTGGGTATTACATGAATCTCAGTGAAGACTGTGAAGTCGGTGGGTATTACATGAATCTCAGTGAAGACTGTGAAGTCGGTGGGTATTACATGAGGGAGCAGGGCTGTATCCCTCCCGTCTATCTGCAGAGTGCCCTGATATATCACCCTCTCTTAACAGCTGGTTACAAAATTTCAAAAGGCACACAAGCAGTCATCATTCCGTACGCATTACACCGAGACCCCAAATACTTCCCAGATCCTGAGGAATTCCGGCCAGAGCGGTTCTTTCCCGAGAACTCCCAAGGACGCCATCCCTATGCCTACGTGCCCTTTTCTGCTGGACCTCGAAACTGTATTGGTTTGTATCCACGAGAGTGGGTTTGGCCTTTCAGGCCCATGCGGTACATTCACACAGGAGCCTCTGAAACACAAGGGACATTACTCATGGGCAGTAGACTAACAGAGGTTCTGTTTTCTTCCACTTTATACTGTAGTTTTAAAATGCTATTGTTAGGGGCTGGGCAGGCAGCTCAGTTGGTTGTGTGCAAGCGTGAGAACCAAAGCCTGTCTGTAAATGAATGTAAAGTCAGGGGCTGTGTGCACCAGTGATCCCAGTGGTGGGAAGGCAGAAAGGGAGATGGTTTGAAATAACGGAAACTAAGCCTTTCACCAACAGCAGAGTAAGGTGTCAGTGAGTCTTCCAAACTTTCTCTCTTTTGGTTTATGTGTGCCAGCCCTCTCTTTGTGTCTTCACTTGTTTTTTTGTTTTTTGTTTGTTTGTTTTTCCCTCTGTGCATGCTTGTGTGTTAAATATCATTGTCTCAGGGTGTTCTGAGACCCACCTTAATGACCTCATTTAACTCATTCAAGTGTAACCACACAACGTTATTTTTTTATTTAAAGACCCACTCTAAGGACATTCGTAGTATAGAATGTTGGGAGTTGCCTGATGTGGTGACTTAGACTCAGGAGGCAGAGGCAGGCGAGAATCTCTGTGAGTTCAAGGCCAGCCAGGGCTACATGGTGACACCCTGTCTCAAATAAACAAATGAGGGGGGAGGAAAGGAAAAGGTGAGAGAGAAAGGGAATGAGGTAGAGTGGGAGAGGATTTCCACTTACGTAAATTTGAATTTAGACACAATTCTGTCTATAACATAAAGCATAATCAATTTCCTGGCAGATATGTAATTATTCAGTGTGTGTGTGTGTGTGTGTGTGTGTGTGTGTGTGTGTGTGTGTGTGTGTGTGTGTGTGTGTGTTGTGTGAGGGCATGCCACTGCAGGAGTGTGGACGTCAGAGGATGACTTTAGGAAGTTGGTTTCACCTTCCACAGCGTGGGACTAAGGGATCGAACTCAAGTCACCAGGCTTGATGGCAAGCACCTTCACCTTACCCGATGAGCTGTCTTGCCTCCTCCAGGGATCTAAAATGCTGGAGATTAGCTTTGGTACTGTGGTAGAAAAAAGTGTTTATGATAAGATTTATTTTATTTGAAAGAATCCCAGACCCACACAAATGTATTGCCTGACTGCCAGTCAAGTACTTGCAAATGCACATCACATGCATTATAAACAACTTAGCTTTAGCATTTGTAGCTCTTTATTACTTATATGAATGCAAACACTCATGAACTGAAACTAGATATAAATATTTGGATCTGAGCCATATCTGATTAGAGTGAATAAATGAAAGAGATGATAGAAAAACAATCTAGGAAGGTTGCCAGTCATTAGGAGCCCATGTTGCTGTTGATGGGGATTTGAGTTCAGTTCCCAGCACCACCCACCCATCTAGGAAATCCAGATCCAGGGGACCAGGGCCTTGCATTTACATGCACACCCCTCTTTCCCACCACACATATACATCATACAGACTTTAAATTGTTTTTAAAAATATCCAGTCTAGAATTTCACAATTTAAATGAGCCTGAATTAATCTGGCTGTCAGCCATCACTAGGTATCCTCTGACATTCATTTTAATCCTGGAGTTGGTCCAGGACTGTGCAGAGATTCCCATCTGCAGATGTGCAATTCTGTTTATAAACTGGCATGGATTTGCATTTGAATACATATTTATATCCTCCAGTATATTTAAATCACCTCCAGATTCCTGTACTACTAGTAACAATATATATGCTAAAATAATTCCTATTGCTTAGAGGGTGAATGTTGAGGCAACAATCTATACATGTTCAGTAAAGATGCAACTTAAAGAAATATTTTAACCCATGGTCAGTTGAATCCATAGATATAGAATCTATAGATCAGAGAGTTTATGGTACTGCTAAAGCAGAGATTACCTGGTTGTCACAGCTAACTGTACTCATGTGGGAGAAAAAAGGACACTTGAAACCCTACAGTTTTAGCAGTAATTCCAGAGAGCTTATTCTCTGGCCTTCATGAATGTCACACAGCTTCCTGTGTCTCACGTTTGTGCTGTGTCCATGATCCAAGCAATGGTATTTACATTTACTTAAAGGTCAAAAGTTTGCTGTGATGGAGGAGAAGACGATCCTTGCCTGTATCCTGAGGCGGTTTTGGGTAGAATGCAACCAGAAGAGAGAAGAACTGGGTCTGTCTGGAGATTTGATTCTTAGGCCAAATAATGGCATCTGGATCAAGCTGAAGAGGAGACGTGAGGAGCCCTAACTTTGTCCTTGAGACTTTATCATGATGAAGATTGCTCTGTAAAACGTGGTATTTGAAATTTTTAGATTGTGAGCCGAAAACTCCGAATCCTCAGACATAATGATTTTCTTGTTCCCACTGATCTTGGGATCCAGTCCATCACAGAGAGTTTTTGTATGTTTTATGACCAACATAGATGCCGTATCACACCTGCTGTTAGTCTCAAAGGTACTGCTAGCTGAGTTAGCACCGAAATAAACATACAATAAAATTATAGCAGAAGGAACCATTAACCTATTCAATTTTATTTGTTTCATCCAAAAGATGTCATTTAAATGAAACTTTAGAATTAAGAAAATGATCTTGTTGACTCTGAAATTCATATGATATCCTTTGAAAATGGTGGGTAGTTAAACTCTTCGGCAAAGTGGCCTTAGGTTTTTATCTCATTAGTTATGAGATAAGTACTTGTCACATCTCTTTCAGATTTTTATCATGGAAAATAGGTCCCCTGCATGCCCGACTCAAGTGACTGTCATCTTGTTGACTGTGAGAAAGGATCTCCTGTTCTTGTTGGAGTTCCAATCACCTTTTATATTATGTTATTGGAAAAGATTCCTCTCTACAACTTTCAACCTCTCACAGTACCTCAGAAGCTCCATTAGTGGCCTTTGAAGTTCAAGTAGCCACAGAAACTCTCTGCTGATGCACCATTCTATTAAGATTGGGGCAGCCAGGCATTGGTGGCACACACCTTTAACCCCAGCACTCAGGAGGCAGAGGCAGGTGGATCTCTGTGAGTTTGAAGCTACTCTGGTCTACAGAGAGAGTTCAAAAAAGAGTAGGGGCAAAGGATAAAGGAGACAGTAAATTTCTGTTCAAGTTCTGCAACTAGTGCTATGACTATCCATGAATAAAATGTCTACACTAGAGCTCTCCACTCCCTGATATACTTTCTCCAACAATATACTTTGGTTTTATGGAACTCAGGACTGTAACTGGGTGGATTAGAACTCGGGATGCCGGCCTTTGTTGTGGGCATGTCTTTTTTGTAATTCCTCTACTTTTAGAGGAATAAAGAATCTATCCTTTCATATTTGATTACACTGTAATAACACTTGCTTCAGGACTAGACATCTAATTAACTCAGCAGGGCTGAACATCCCTGCCAAGCTGATAACTGAATTACATTCCTTGGACTTTAATTTGGTATATAATAGTACTACTTCTCATGCAATGACTTTTAAGAATTTCTTCTTAATAAATAAATTTTTAACAGGATCAGTTGTGTGGCTTGTTTTGTTTTCAGTTCTCCATGGTCTCACAAATAGAAGCAAGAAGCGAAAGGGATAAAATATGTACCCATGAATCAGAATCAAAGGGGACCAGGGTTATAAACAGTGTTTTGTAAGCACCACAGCATGGGTCACTCCAGGAAATAGGGAAATATTACCAAATAGGTCTGTTAGACTCTCCAGAGAGTGCACAGGACTCAAGCTGTAAGCTGATGAGAGAGAGAGACACACACACAGAGACAGAGACAGAGAGAGAGAGAGAGAGAGAGAGAGAGAGAGAGAGAGAGAGAGAGAGAGAGAGAGAGAACAGAACACTTGTAGTGAAGCCAGTTTTATGTCTGGCTTTAAGCGACATGCATAGTAAAGCCTTGGTGTCTGACTTTGAGAGAAATGTTTCATCAAAGCCTTTGCTATATTTGGATTAATCAGTAGAGGCTGAGAAACTGTTTAAGCCTTGAAGAATTGTTTCTCTGGAGAGTTGGCACTTGGTGCTACTCGTGAGCTTGCAGCTGCACCAACCTTGATCCCAAGAGAACTCCTGGCAGACCTGGAATTCTTATCAAAAGAGACCGAGATTTGTGTGGGCTGCCTGTTCTTGTGGGCAGCAAGAGCAAGGTGACTCTGATAGTTGGAACCTGTCCCAGACCCAATTAACCTTGTATATGTTTGAATAAAGTAACTGGATTGAGCTAGCCAGGTGTCAGTCTTTTCCAAGAAGGCCATCCCTCTCTGCTCCTTTGGGAAATGAAGGCTTAGGATCTTGGAGAGCTTCTCTATGTGGCAGCACCTACAACCCAACATCAAACAACATACACTGGAAAAGAGTCCCTTAAATGACTAACCTCTCATTATGTAGAAATTGGGACTAAGTATAAAGTCTCATCCCAAATGGTTTGGGGTAGTTTAATTGGCTTCCCTTGTGTATATGGGCTTTCTCTCAATTTACACCATATATTTAACCCTTGCCTTATACATTTTTACATTTTAAACATTAATTTATTTGTTCTTATATTTAGTGTGTGTGTGTGTGTGTGTAGTGTGTGTGTGTAGATATGTATGTGTGCAGGCACACATGTGTTACAGCATGACCTGCTTTCTCTGTTTAAGTTTATTGACTCAAGCAGTATGAAGCCAGAGTTCTTCCCTGAGGTTTATCCAGCTGCAGTTGAAGGAAAGAGAGGATTAATCCTCGGAAGAATCTCCAGGTCACTGAGTAGCTTCTAGGATATGGGATGAAAGGGATGAGTGGAGAAGAAACAGGGAGAAGAAATGGTGAATACTGAATGATGCTGTGTTCCCACCACTCACTCTTCAACTATACTTTGAAAACCAAGGGCAGTGTACTGCCAGCTTGCTTCAGTAGAAGATTTTTTTCATCACTCAAGGCAAATCCAGGTTTGTCAACTCAGCATCATGGTAAATAATCAAGTCTCATTTTTGGGACATCATCTTGGTTTTTATCTAATTTTCTTTCTGATGAAAATAATAATTCTTCTGTATCATTTGTGCAGGTGTTTCAGTGTGATAACATTTGATGACATGCAGAGTTTCTTCTTTAAAATTCTACCATACTTTTTAGATCCACTTTAGAGTACAGCTAACTTGTCCAAATACAACAATCTGGTTATGATCTCCAGGCTAACCCATCATTTCCCCCATTTTCTAGCTAAGTGGGCTCACTCTGGCATTTCTTATGGATAGCTGTATTACAAATTTCTGAATCAATTCTGTCTCCTGTAATTATTAACGATGGACTAGTTGCACCACCTCCCCCAGTCACTTGCCCAGGAACTTTAGACTTTTAGGGCCAAATTCCACCTCTAAGAATCTATGGGTCCACCTGAAGCCAGGTCCACAGTTCAGGTCAGATCGTAGGTCTGAAGCTTTATCAGACAACACCCAAGCTTCAGACCCATGCCTGCATCTCTAGGCTCCAATAAACCTAGAGTCCAGGCCTGCCCACCATGCTTGAAAATAGGTCAGTTCCTCAGGATGCTCGTCGCAGAGTACCTAAGACCCAGAACGACAGTTGCAGTATCAGGAGCCACATCTGTTCCCATGGAGTCAGAGCTCCACTGTACTCTGGGACAAGGGTCCATTGCCACCAATGGATCAAATGAAGGAAATGGGTAGATGTTAATTGAAAGGTACAAGATCTCAGGAAAGACCAATGTTTTGGGGCCTATCATATTTACAACATACAATATATTACCTACACCCTTGAAAACTGATAAGAGTTGATTACATGCTCTTACCACAAAAATTATTGTAATATGATAGGTTAACTAGTTCGGTTTGATCACTGTATACTCTTGTGGCTGTATATATAAAATGCAGTGTCAGTGTAAGTCAAAAGTAGCACTTGCTACAATTAACTAGCTTTCACCAGAGTAGCAGCATAAGAGTATTCATTAGAGTTAGGGCCGGTGTAGCTATTTCTCCAACAGGTGATTTTAGCTCATGTAAGACAGGCATCTTAGCTTACCCTCCAGTATAACTATCACTTATAGAAGATCACAGAGCGGGTAGATGAGGTAACCAGTTCTGCAAAGGGAAGGGAACATCGGGAAAGGAATGAGGGGTGGGAACTGTAGGGAGGGGGCATTTGAGCAGAGATCCGTTGGATGTGAGGATTCAGATACCTGGGACAAAACTGTACCTAGAAAGTAAGAGGAAAAGAGCTTGGAGGATGTTGGAAGGGAGGGTGGGGAGGGACAAAACTGTACCTAGAAAGTAAGAGGAAAAGAGCTTGGAGGATGTTGGAAGGGAGGGTGGGGAGGTGAATCTTGTTCCCACTAAGTCATTGGAAATATTCATCTGTGTGTGTATGTGGGGGTGAGTATAGGCCTGAGGTTCCCCTCTTTAAGAGCCATTGGGCAGAGATGACTCTCACATCCTCGTCTCAAGGCTCCTGCATATCCAAGGCAGCACCCCAAAAAGTCTCCCTGCTGCTCTGCCCTCTTATACTTTAAATCTCACTGAATTCTCCTTATTAGAACATCGCAGGGAAGGTGACATGACTCAGTGGGTAACGTGGTTGCTGCTGAGCCTGATGATCCGAACTTCATTGATATATATATATATATATATATATATATATATATATATGAACCAACTCCTGTAAATTGTCTTTGGCCATTAGCTAGCATACCATGGCTCATGCATCACACACACACACACACACACACACACACACACACACACACACGCAATTTTAAAAATTGGTGGCAGGAGCCCTGGTGATGAGTTCTGGCCCACTCAGATGGTCTCTACCTCGATGGACTCAGTGTCAGCTGAATAGTCACCTTCATGACATCTGCCAAATTGCATTTCTCATCAACCACAGTCACTGAAACCCAGTCTCTGCAGAGGTACTGGCTCACCGCATCTGCACACTCTCCAGGATCAGAGAGGGAAATTTAGGAGGGAACACTTAGAACTCTGCCTACTGCTGGCTCTCTTGGATGTAACTGATTTTGTTCTCACAAATCCATGAAGAAATCTTAGCTTTTTGTATTCTGAGCATATAACTTCTATTCTATTGTCAGGAACCTTCAGACTAAGCACAGAAGTAGATCTATGGATGTTTAAGTCTGGAATATAACCTTGTAGGCAAGAAACCTCTGACCGTGTATGTTGTGCACTGACAGCTTTTTTTTTCACCACTGTTGAGCCTGGTGGCAGATGAGATCACAAATTCCAATTTTTTTCCACAGTGTTTTTCTTTGTTGGTGACTGACATACTGGTTAGCATCCTGTCTCTAGAAAGAAGCACAACATACTGTTTAAACATGCTGCTCTATGGCAGTCCAGAGATATTTATCTGCAGCATCCTTTGTTCCTAATACATACAGTTCTGCATCCAGCAGCACATACAAAATTTTTACAAATCAACTCTCTCCAAATCCATGTTACTAGTTAAAATGACACACTGTGTTCTTGTAGAATGGAAAGCAGAGGGGGATTTAGTGGTAAGTGATTATGGCCTTTAAATATTTTTAAAAAGCAAAAATAGGGAATAAATTATTAGTTATCAAATCCAGGACTGAAAGTTAGAAGTTTCAAGGAATTGTATGCTTTTTATTATATCTGGAATCACTTTTCTAAAAGTTAAAACTAAAATAGAGTTCCCTGAGGGAGACTAGGCAGTCTGTAAATCAGGGAATGTTTCTCTAATATAGAAATAGTGACAGGAAAATGTAAACTCCACTACAGATGTGCTGTGCAGCAGGGTTCAGTAGCCTCCCCTGTACGGGACCAGTTATTAAAATCTCTGCTTGTTTGATTTTTGGTTTGGGCCTTGACTGTGCGTCAGTGAATGGGCATTGCTGAGTTCCATTAAAGCTTTAGAACATAAAATACTGGACCAGATTTGTCCTGGAAATTTTGATTTATCAACTCGGAATTGTGTGGATCTGAACATAAATTTTAAGTGTTATAAAAAGGTAGAAAGGCAATAACAGCATTTGCTTCAATTCACCTGTAGGGGGAGCTGTCCACCCCACCCCCACATTCAGGTGTGCCTCTAGGCACACACACACACACACACACACACACACACACACACACACACGCAAATGCAAATAGGCAAGACTCAAACTACTTATCCCCAAATAAAGGGGTGATATGATTATTTTCAAAACTGAAAACATACTTGAATTGTGTGTCCCTGACATAAATTATAATTTTCTCTTCAAGATAAGCATTTAAACACACCCGCACACACATGTATAATTACGGTTCTTAATATGTTTGCAATATAATTATGTCTTGGTGTGCAGGTACACTGTGAGATTATTACCACTATCAATGGTATGAAAACGGTCACCATCCCACATGACTATGATGTATGTGCCAGGTCACAGTTGTGTACACCTGTAGTAATCTAACACTCTGAAGATCTAGAGGTTGGAGTGATAGCTCAGGGGTGCTTGAAGAGGACCAATTCAGTTCCCAGCAACCATATCAGGTGGTCATATGATATCA